CGCACCCTGCGAGCCCTGGGTGGAGCCTGGCACCGCGAGGGTTAAGCCGCTCACTCACCCTGGAGGCTGCTGTGTCCTCAGGCGGTTGGTAGACAAATGACCTGCTGTCTGGAGAGGAGGGCTCTGGGTTGCCAGAAGGAAGCCCTCTGGGGGTGCCGTGTGTTTGACATGCATTCACCATGTGTGATCGGAACCTCGGAAAAGGGTTTTGTCTAAAGCAGTCGAAGATTTTCCTTATTTTAAACCTGTTGAATCTGGAACGAGTTGTTTTGAAGTTTTTCTTTGAGGATGACTTTTTTCAAAGGTCTGGGACAAAGACTGTTTCTGCTCCTCCTCTTGTCCTTGGGGGCCGGGGTGTCAGAGCTGGAAGCCCAGGGTACCCCTCTGCCCCGGAGAGGGGGCGGCAGACGCAGCCCCAGCCCCGTCCTTCAGCTCCAGCTCACAGCGCTTCCTGTCTCCCTGGGGTGAATTGGAGCCGATAGGCTCATTTTTCATGTTCTTGTTAAAGAAATCTGTTGTCTTCTCAGCTGTCTTACTTTCTGCAAATTAAGCTCCTTTCCGGTGACCCACGAGGGGGCTGTTCCTACTGTCCCTCTCTGTGCTTGGCGGTGGCCCTGCTTCACCTGCCCTTGGGGGCCAGCCACCCCGTGTGTGGCGGGTGTGATGGAGGGGCCGTCCGTCTGAGGTCTCTGAGCAGGATGGCAGGGTGGCGTCATGGCGTCTGTGTGGGGAGCTGGGCTGCAAGGCAGGCGAGGCGGGCTCTGCCCAGCCTGCGGGTGGGGCCGCAGGGAGGCCCGGGAGGCCAGGTGGGGCAGGGCACCGACAGGCAGCCTCAGTCGGGTGGAGGCTGGTGCCGGTGGCAGCTCCCAGCCCTCTCACGGCTGACCGGTTCCCGTGACTTGAGACTGAGAAGTGGGCCAGATGGACTGAAGGTTCAGCTCACTAGGCTGCCGATTTCCCTGAAAATAAATGCCAGTCAAACCACGCAGGAGCCTTTGTGAGTGTTGAGGCTGTTGTCCGTCAGTGGAATACGAGTCAGCAGTTTCTGTCCTTTTCCCCGTTGCTCACCGGCCGTCCTAGCCGGCACAAATGACACTTCAGGAAGCCATCTCAGTGTGATTTGGGGTCAGACACTTGGGCTCCCCAAGTGGAGGGCAGGCTCTGGGGGTCAGCAGCTCAGTGACCTCAGGAGTTGGTGAGCAGGTGAGGGGTGGGAGCTCTGACCCCATGGAAGTGGGCTTCTCCCGGGGGGCGCCAGGCCTTTCTGAGTTCAGTGGCTGGGGGCGGGGGGTGTCTGCCTGAATAGATGTGGAGGTGCTGACCGCTGTCACTCCTAGTTGTCTGTTTTGAAATTGATCTTGTCCTGTGGACCGATAAATTGGGACTCAGCCGTGAGCACCCAGATCTCCTTCCGGCTATAGACTTGCTGAATGGTCTCACCCAGAACTCCCTGGGTGGCCGTGTTCGAGATCTGGGGGCGGCGAGGCCACGTAGGCTGCGCTTCCCTGCTGAAGGTGCCACAGCCGATTAGTTTCGACGTGTGTCGGGCCGCGAGCGGGCTCCCCTGTCAGCACAGAAAGTGAGCGTGAGCAGCCCCAGAAAACGAGGCTTTGCAGGTAAAACAGCTGCGGACCAGTTGTGAGCGTCACGGGTTCGGTGTAGTTCAGGTAGGGACAGTCGTTTAAAAGTCACCGATGAGATCGAACTGCGTGATCCACGACGGCTAAAGGCAGTGCCCCCGTTTGGGTTGGCATTTGTGCGTGCTTCACGAGTCTTAATTGTGAGCTTCACTTGCTTTTAAAGATTTAAACTCATTATTACTCTTTTTTAGAGAGAGGAGAAGAGAGGGAGGCAGAGGGAGAGAAACACTGATGTGCGAGACCAGGAACCTGGTCTGCAACCCAGGCACGTGCCCTGACTGGGAATTGAACTGGCCACCTTTAGATGGGGGGCCGACACCTGACCTCCAGAGCCGCACCAGCCAGGGCTGCAAGCTTCACTTCAGGAGGTTAGCAGGAGACACTCACGAGGAAGGGTAGGGGTTCTTTCAGGACGTGGGGCGCAGTTTCCCCTGTGCCGCCGGACGGAGGCAGAACTCCGTTGGCTTCCGTGGCCTCTGTCCAGCGCGGCTCCCCTGGTTCTGGGGTGCTGTGCAGGTGGGAGGCCGAGAGGGCTGTGAGGCCAGTGGGGGGTTGGCGGCGGGCGCTGGGGGGACTCCTGAAGGGACAGGCGGGAACCAGCCTGTGCAGCCTGCCCTGCTGTGAGGTGAGTGCTGAGCACACACAGGCCCAGAGCCACGTTAGCCCAACAGTGACGGGGCCGGTGGGGGGCACTGGGGTGGGGCGTGACGGTGTCCTCAGCAGAGGTGCGGCTCCTGTGGGTGAGGCAGGCCTGGGGTGACCGCCACTCCCTGAGCTGTGCCCCAGAGGGTGGCGCGGCCTCCAGCTGAGGTGGGTCGTGAGGGGAGATGGGCTCAGTTTCAGATGTTGTGGAATTTGAGGGGCCTTTGGCACATCCCGAGGGGGGTGTCCTGCTGCTGTTGGGTTGAGGAAACGCGAACCTGGCAAGAGAGTGGGCTCCGTGTTGGGGGTCCTCAGCATGCACAGCTGCAGAGCGAGGCCAGCTGCAGGCTTGGCGACCTCGGCGCCCACGGCCAGACGCCCTGGAGCTCCCTGTCCTGCATCAGACCCCTGAGTCCCCGCCGAACTGTGAGCCGCGGCGACCCGGAGTCCCTCTCCTGGCCGAGGTGGGTGGGATTGGTGAGGTGGTGTCTGTGAGCCTGTTGTTCTACGTTGCCCTTATTTTATGTGACTCAAAGTAAATTTATGTGAACATTTTGTAATCTTACTAAGTTATCGTGTGTATGAAATAAACTGTATAGAATCACATCCATTTTCTGTTGCAGTTTATATAGAATGAGGTAATCTTGGGTGTAGTAAGGCAGAAGAGAAATTTGTGTATAATATTCATAGTCCTGCATTGTTTTTTTTGTTTGTTTGTTTTTTGTTTTTGTTTTTGTTTTTGGTTTTTTTTTCGCCTCAGTCTGTTTTTAGGTATGTTTTCCTGGGAGATAATTTCTGTGATGACAGGTGCACGTGCGAGTCATTGATAGTTTATTTTTCTTAAATTCACACCTGGAGTGTTGTTCTTGGGCCTTTCTAAGTCACAGTGTCAGCCTCCTGAGGCGGGGCTGGGGGCGGGGCCCGGTGTGCAGGTGGGTGTGCAGCCGGCCTCCTGGGCGCTGGCGGGCAGGCCCCCACTGTGCTCTCCCTCTCGCCACTGGCGTTCGTCCTCTTTGCTCAGTGGCGGGTCTCCCTTCGTCTGGTGCCGGGACCTTCACCCTCCCTCCTCGGTTCCTGAGCGAGGGCTGCGTGCAGGGCGTCCGCAGGTCTGCGGCGGCGGCTCCGGCGCGGGAAGCTGTGCAGCCGAGTTTTACCCTGCAGATCTCCCCTCCCATGAGCGACGGCGGGCAGGGCTGTGAGGCCGCGGCGCACAGAGGCTGTGGCCATGTGCGCCGACAGGACAGGTGCCCACGGGCCAGGGGCCGATGCACGCCTGGCTCCCACGGCCCGTCGTGCGGCCCTGTCCAGTGTCGGGCGTCCACCGGAGAGAAGCAGGGCAGCCCCAGGCCCACTCCTGATCCCTTCTGACACCACTGCCAGCTGTTGAGGGTGCTTCAGGGCAGCGCCCTTGTCTGTCTGGGTTAGTGAACTGGGACTTTCAGAAAATTCTGCTCAGTGTGACGTTAAGAAACAATTTAAACTTGTCTTTAATTTTTACTTTTCATTTTATTTTTAAAAAATGTTTATTTTTTGGACAGAGAGGAAGGGAGGGAGAAAGAGAGGGGGAGAAACATCTGTGTGTAGTTGCCTCTCGTGCGCCCCCAGCTGGGGACCTGGCCCGAAACCCAGGCTTGGGCCCTGACAGGGAATTGAACCCGCGACCCTTTGGTTTGCAGGCTGATGCTCAGTCCACTGAGCTACATAAGCCAGGGACATTGTCTTTAATTTTTAAATTAATTTTTTAAGCCTTTTCTCTTATGTCTTTAAATTATAAGTATCTTAAAAGGCTTGGAAAATTGTTTGATTTACACAATTAATTACATTTTATTATACTTTTTAAGCCCTATGCATGAATGTGATATATATAAAGCAAAACTTTTCAGGTCCCTGAAATACATGAATCTAAGAAATTTAACATAAAATGGTAAAATCTCAGCTCTTTTAAACATCAAATACCCACACCACATGTCTCAAAATTCTGTCATATCTTTATATCAAAAATCACTTATGTAATATTAATCAATTAGACGTTTTAAAATGGAAGCAGGATAATCTGTTATGTATTTCAAGTTACTGTAAGTGTTAGATGTTTCAGATAACTAAATGTGTGTAGATCGTCCCTAGGGCTAATGGAGAAGCATGGAAGGCACCGGGGGTCGGTTCTGTCATTGTTTGGTTGTCAGTTCTGAAAACCCCCAGGCGGCGGACACCCTCGGAGCAGAGTGCGGACCCCTGGGTGCCGGGTTCCCCTCTCCTCCCTGGGTGGAGGGCAGCAGGTGCTGCCTCGGGCCCGAACTAGAGGCCGACGCATCTTTTAGGGCCTCCTCGACCACAAGACCCCGGGACCATTGTCCAGTGGTGTCGCTGGCCCTTCTCCCGCCGCCAGGGCTCTCGGAGCCCATCCTTGGGGCCTGGCTCCCTCGTTCCTCAGGCTCCCAGGTCCTGCGGCATCCCTCTGGTGGCCCTTGTGGGGGACCTTGCACCTCTGTGTGCTTTTCGGGCAGCTTTAAAGGAAACTTTTCACTTGATTCGTGGACTTCTGTTTGCCTTCCACGTTTTTTCCTGACAAGGTGGTAACTTTCACAGCATGACCTTGGGGCGGACTACGCCTGGTGGCTGGCCGTACCTGCCCCTGCTGGGTGCTGGGGTGCCCCCGCTGCCGTGTCTTCAAACCAGCTGCCTCCACGGTCTCATTCGGTCCCCGTCTCCCCTGCCCAGTGGTCGCCGTGATCCTGAAGGCGCTGACCTACGAGGAGAAGCGGGGTGCCTGCAGCGTGGGCGCCAACGTCCGGGACGCCGCCTGCTACGTGTGCTGGGCCTTCGCACGCGCCTACGAGCCTCGGGAGCTGAAGCCCTTCGTGTCCGAGATTGCGAGGTACAGCCTGTCCCGGTCGTGGCGGTCCGGCCCGGCCCGCCTCTGCCGTCGCCCGTCGGGCGGTGCCCTCCCGGAGGCGCATGTGTGCCGCAGCCAGCCCAGGGCGCCCCCACGGTGCTGTGCAGCCGGCGTTCCTGCGCCGGTAGCACACCCCTCGTGGGTGGTCTGTGACCCGGCAGCAGCTCAGGCTCCTTCCCTGTGGGGAGGCGGCTCTGCCCAGAGCTGTGCAGGAGGCTTGTGCAGAGGCTCCCACTGGCTCTGTGGGGGAGGGGACGTCGTTTGGGGGGTGTGGGAACAGCCGGCGGCGACAGCTCATCCGGTGAGTGGGGCTTCTGGGCGTCTGTGTCCCACAGAGAGAGAAGCTTTGGACACCCAGCTGCCAGCCTTCCCCTGGGAAGGGGTCCCTCGGGAACGCTGGACTAGGAAGCCCTTGACTGCTGTGCAGGGGCTGGGCTTTGTCCTGCCCCGATTTTCTGGTTGGGATAGACTAGCACTTGAACACCATTGCACTGACCAGCAGCTTCATCTCCAGCACACTGGGAACGGCCCTCGGCCCTCAGAGCAGCTCTGCGAGGCAGGACTGAGTGTCTTCTGTGGTTTCTCGGAGAAGGAACTGGAGCCGGCAGGTGGCGGCCCCGGCAGACACTGGAGCAGCTGTGGCCTGGGCTTGTTGGTGTGTCCCCCAGCTGGGCCCCCAGGGTGTCCAGCTGCCCCTGCCGTCCTGCCCCTAACTTTTAAGATCTGCTGGGGTTTTTTTTTTGTTTCAGAGAAATATAAAACAAATGTGTCCCCAGCATAGGAAATTTTTAAGTTAATCTTTGTGCTGTGATTTGTTCATGTATTTCTGGACTTGAACAAGGTTAGGCCTCTGTTTTCAGTGTTTATTAGGCAGCCAGAGGAGGGCTGCCCAGCGTGGCGGCAGCCTCTGTGTTGGTCATGGACCCCGCAGTCCTAAGCCATCCACAGGGGCCGGCCTGTCCTCGGAGTCCCAGCTCCTTGTGCCTCCAGCCAGGTGCGCCGGTGTGGCCCCGGGTGAAAGGCTGCCTGAGGAAGTCCCCAGGGTCTGCAGCCCCTGGCTTCTCTGCTGCGGCTCCCAGGTCTCGGGCACTGGAGGTCGTTCTGCTCTCACTGCTTCTGGGGTCGGGAGAAGAGCCGCAGGTCTGTTCACTGCCCAGGAAGTGCCTCTGGCCTGTGTCTCCCCGTCCTGACGTACGTCAGAGCCTGGTCCACAGAACAGGCCAGGGGTGCTGACAGAGCTGGGGGAGCTCAGAGTGCTTCCAGGAAGTCGTAGAGGTATCCGACTCCTCCTTGCTCCTCCTCCGCTGGAGAAGGGCAGAGAGACAAGGCTGAGGGCTTGGGGGGCCAAGGTCCTGCGTGACTGTCGGCCTGTCCCCACCACTCGCCCCTCGCTGGCCCCCTGGGCCGTGGCTCCCTGCCAGCAGCCCAGGGCCCCGGCCCTGGGGGAACGGGGGTTTGCTGTCTCCCAAGGCTGCGGGCGAGGCTCTTCCTGCCGCTCACCTGCAAGTGGCTTCTGTGACGAGAAGGGGCAGCAGAGGCAGCGGCTCCCTTGGTGCTGGGTGCTTCCGCTGTCACAGAGTCTGGGCTGACACTGTGCCACCCTGTGTCCAGTGCTGGCGGGGAGGTGGGCACCCTGGTGACGCTGCAACCCTGGTGACACCTGCCCACCGGCGGGCAGCTGACAGACTGAGGGAGACGCCGGAGTCCCACGGCATGTCCCTGGCCTCTGCAGGGCATCCGGCTCCTGATGGGGCCCCTCCCGCTTCGAAGGGAGAGCAACCCCCGCATCGGCACTGCTTCTTCAGTCTGGCATTCGTCAGTGTGGTGAACGTGGCAGGTATCCGTGCCGCCCCTTTCTCCGAGGACTCTCGGGGCAGAGGAAATTGGAACATGGTAAAATCTTTGGAAATAAAGGCTTTCAAAACCTGCCAACACTAATTCAAAACAAATTTACGTGGAAACTTTCTTTCTGGTGTTATAAAAGGAAGAGTCACCGCGCCTCCACAGACGGGTGCCTCCAAGCGCCCGAGGAAGCGGGCAGCTGAGCCTGCGCCCGCCTGCGCGGCACGGTGCGGCCTGCGCAGGCCGTGCTCCCCTGGGACAGCGGGAGCGCCGGCCACACACCTGCTCTCTGTTTGGGGCGGAAGCTTCTGAGCCCCCGCTCTGCAGGGGCCTGTGTCCCTCGTGATGGGGAGAGCAGTGGCGCTGGCCAGCGGTCCCAGCCCTCACGCCCCCCCGGGGCCCGTGGGGCAGACAGGGCTGGCTGTCTTCTCCCCAGGGCCCTGGCTTTTGAAACACAGGCTCTCGCAGCCGCGAGCCAGTGATTCCTGCTTTCTGCAGTTTCTAGAAGCTGTTGCCATGCCGATGGCGTCAGCGACTTTGTGAAGTGCAGCATCAGCCGTGGTGAGCCTGAGCGTGACGTGGGCGCAGTTGACGTCACGGGCCCAGTTCTGTGGGTTCCCGGGTGGGCGGGCCTGCGCCCGTGGACCTCCGGCACATGCCCGGGCAAGGCCAGCACAGCGACCTGGCTGGGCCGCTGCCGAGCCACGCGGGTCTGACTCGGAGCCTCTTTCCCCAGCGTGTGCGTCCCCGCACGCCAGCACCGAGTTCTCGTGGAGGCTGGAGGGTGCCGGCACAGCGGACTCCAGGGGCCCCTCTGCTCCTCAGAAGAGGAAAGCCAGATGTGGGGCCCACCGAGCTGCCGCGTGCCCGGCTTTCTGGGTGTGGCATGTGGCAGGACCAGGCAGCGAAGAGCCCAGAGCCGGGGCTGAGTGGGTCCCCGGCCTTGGTCTCTCTGCTCCTGTCAGGGAGCGGGACTTGGATTGGCTGCGGCGGAGAGGGTGGAGCCAAGCCTGTCCTGCGGGGGCCCAGAGGGTAGTGGGCCAGCAGGACCCCTGCCACCATGTCTGGATGGTGACAGGAGGGCAGGAGGGGTTGTTGGGGGCACTCGCCTCTCTCAGGAGCTGGGACTCATTTTAAGAACGTGACCAAACAGGAGGGACCAGGGACACTTGCCCTGATGGTGGCCACTGTTCTCAGCAGAAACTCCTGTGGTTGCACTTGGGCCCTTTGATCTCAGGGGAGGTTACTTTTCCTCGACTCTCTGGGCATGCCCCAGGCGTCGCTCACGTACTCACCGGCAGCGTCCCACTCGGAACCCTCCCGCTGGCAGGGCACGCGGACTCCTGCTCAACAGCCTTCCCAATTCCTCCTAATTAGCACCGGAGCTAGCGGCCTCGTGGAGTTTCTGCCTGACGGGGCGCCTCTAGCCCCCTTTCCCCGGGCCCCTCCCAGGATCAGATCACAGGTGCCCTCTGGAGCTGCGCCTGGGCCTGGCAGGCTTTCCCGTCCAGTTTGGCAGGTTCTGGGAGCCAGGGCTGCAGCCCTTCCTGGTCCGTCCGGGCTGCAGGCTGGGGCGGGTGGGGAGGGAGGCTGGGAGGTGACTCACCGAGAGCCCGAGAACGCTGCTGGCCCAGGAGTATCGGTTGGGGTGTGTCCTTCAAGAGCTGCCTCCTTCTGTGTGTAATAAGTGACCGCATTTTAATTGTCAGCTTTTAAGCCCATTAATCCTGCCACCTGATAAAAGGCTGATACCTTTATACTTTCACAAACTCTTCAGTGGATCTTGCAAAAGTTGACACTGGAGATCAAAGTGTAATTCTCTCAGTGAAATTCGAACGTCTGATGAAGAGAGTCCTGTGGCGGCAGCGTGGCCAAGGCCCCCACCTGCTGAGCGGTCTGGGGTGGGCTGTGCAGGGCTCAGCTGCCCACTTTCTCGGGCGCTTGGAGGGACCCATCTGTGGGTGTGAGGTGGCTCTGTTTTAGAACACCAAAAGGAAAGTTTTCAGGCAGTCGATTGCTTTGAATTAGTGTTGGCAGGTTTTGAAAGCTTGTATTTCCTAAGATTATACACAGACTATGAGCTGGAATAATATTTTTTTTTGTGGAAAGTAAATAGGGCTTTCTGAAAAACTGAGTGTGACTTGAGATCAGTGAAACACACGAAGTTAAAACGGCACAGAACGGCTGTGCTTCACCGAGGAAATGCCTTCTCCCCGGCAGTCGGGAAGCTGACTTGCAAGAAGGAAAGAAAAATGAGCCCTTGCAAGCCTGCTGGTTGGCACCTTCCAGCGATTTCCTCACCTGAAACTCTTTTGTGAGTCGAGGCCGTTGACATCAGCCTGCAGGCTCCTCCCGAGCTGGGCAGCGCCCCGCGCGCCCACAGCGGCAGGCCAGCGCCTGGGGATCGGCTCCCAGATCTCTTCCTCCAGGGCAGGCTTGTCCCGAGACATCAGGAAGTGGCAGGCGTCGCTCGGAGCCGTGTCTTGTTCTCACCGCGACCTTCTCCAGGGCTGCTTCTGCAGGGAGTGGGGGGAGGGTGAAGGGGGGCGGGGTGGGGGAGCCCTCGTGTTTTCCAGGGAAAGTTACGTGCTGATCACAGACACAAGTGTGCCCCCACTCCCCCACCTGGTAAACCTCTTCTTGGCCCTCATTCTGGCTCCACTGCGACTTACGTGCTTTGGAAGGTCTCGTGGGAGCCTTCATTCTTGTGAGGGAAAAGGAAAGGAGAGCTTGGCCACTGGCAGGCATTTCAACTCGGTAGACAGTGTAGTCTGCAACTTCCAAACAATGTGGATCAACTTTGAAATGATGGGATTACTGTTACTTAAGATAACAAGCAGCAGTGCATTTTGCTTTTTATTGCTATAAAACACTGTGTAGACTAACAGAGGTGGACTTCGGGATGTGAGCTGCGCCCTGCTGTACCTGCTAATAAAAACCAGGAGCCCGGGCAGGTCGAGGCATGCAGCTTCCCCGACTGGACGAGGAAGAGTCCCTCTCTGTGTGACACAGACCGGCCTTCTGTGTTGGGAAATGCTGGCGAGGCAGCGCCTGCTCTCCCGCGGCGAAAGCAAACAGGAGAAGACGCCCGAGACACGGCCCCGCCCCGGCAGACGCCTGCCGTGGGCCGTCGGGGCCGCTGTGCACATCCCCTCCGGCACGTGAGCCGTGCGAGTGACTCACGCGAGGCCCCTCCTGCTAAGGAAGACTTGGGGGGTGCATGGACTGGGGCCTGTGGTGCTTCCCTGCTCATACTGAACCAGGACCATCATACCTGTTCCTATGCGAGACTCACTAGTATTTGTAGACAAGCCAGTTTTGTTTCTCAGAGTGAAATTAGAGTAATTTTCTAAATTTAGTCCAGATCAAAACAGTATTAAAAACCTGCTGCATTCCCCTGTTGCATACAACAAATTGATTTGTTGAATTAACTCAAGAGTCTAAACTTGGTTGAAAGCTGTTTTTAGAGGGATACAGTTTGTCCTGCTGTTCTCTGAAGTTTGCTGAGATAGGAACAAAGAAGGGACCTTCTAAAGCCACCCACTTGCGAGTGTGAAAGCCTTCCTGGCGAGCCCCTCCATGCCTGCACCCCTCCGGCCTGGGCAGCTGGGCCTCCTGTGTCCTCACTGTCCACCCACAGCGGCAGCTGTTTCTGTTCCGTGTGCTTCAGGGCTGAGTGCCTGCGGGCTCCCGGGAGGGAGTCCCTTCTGTCCTTGCTCGGGGGCCAGTCAGTGCAGGAGCTGCGGGGCCTGGCCGGGAGCCTGAGGTCAGGTGGACCTGTTGTGGATGCTGAGAGGGGCCCGCAGGTGAGCGAGGAGCGTGAGAGAGAGGAAGATGAAGAAGGCCTTTTTCTGGGGCAGCCAGTTGTGCTTGTAGAGAAGGGGCTGGAAGGCCGGAGCATAGACACATGACAGCATGAGAAGGAATCTCCAGGACAGCCTTTCATTGTTTCGGTTCAGTTGCCACATAAACTGAAAAGCTTGACACTGAGCGTCTTCTGTCCCCAGCACGGGCTCACCTGATGACTCGGCCGCTCCACGGTGCTGGGCAGGGGCTGGCAGCACTCAGAACTGCGGGCTGGCCTCAGTGGCCCGGGCTGCACCAGGAGAGGTGTGGGGGCGCGGGGCTGTGAGCCCGTAGACGGGTGGCGGCGGGGGTGCTGGAGGGCCTGCTCCCATCTCGGCTGCCTCAGGGCCCTCGAGCCCCTTCCAGGGCTGGCAGGCAGCAGGCGATGGTGTGTTTCTTTCTTGCATTGGTTCTGTTCTCCTCTTTAATCGGTATTCCGTAACTTAGAAATTGTAGTGTAAGACAGACTGTCGGGGAATTTTAAGGTAGTGTGAGATGTGAGCTTTTCTGTATTTGGCATACCCAGGGCCATTCAAAATACAAGTCCACATTTTTCTTGTGTCAGATGTTAAAGCCGAAATGCTTGGTTAATAGCTTTTCCTAGAACACCTAGATCTTGTGAATGGAGAAGAAGAAGCTCTAAGGGCCGGGTCCCCAGCTGGGCGGTGTGAGAGGCAACTGATCGACATCTCTCTGGTGCATTGATGTTTTTCTCTGTCTTTTTCCCTCCCTTCTCCTCTCTAAAAATAAATGAATAACATATTTTTAAAAGGTCTTATTAACATGTAGATATATAGTACTTAAAGTTCCATTGATTGAGACTATATTTAGATGAAGATACCAAATGTTTTGTTAAGAATAGTAGTGGTATAAGTTTTAGCCCTGGCTGGTATACCTCAGTGGGTTAAGCACCAGCCTTCCAACCGAGGGTCGCTGGTTCGATTCCCAATCAGGGCACATGCCTGGGTTTCGGGCCAGGTCCCCAGTAGGGGGCGTGTGAGAGGCAACCACACAGTGATGTTTCCCTCGCTCTCTTTCTCCCTCCCTTCTACTCTCTAAAAATAAGTAAATAAAATCTTTATGAAAATAAGTTTCAGTTATTGAAAGATCTCTAATGTCTTGCTCAGCTTGGTGATCTCTAAAATTTCATTAATAGCCATTGTGAAGTTGAGTTTAAGAGTCAGTTCACCTTAAAGTTGACATGTTCCTGCTCTTGGCTTCAACCAGTAAAAGGGGTGATAACAGAAAGGACCCGAGGTGCTAACGCTGGGGCTTTTAAGATCTCCAGGTATTTTCTTTTAAAGAATGTGTGATTTTGAGCTAACTTTTGACTGAAAGAACAGTTGTAAAAGTAGCAGAAAAGGTTCTTGTAAGCCCTTCCCCAGCCTCCCCCACTGTCAACAGCTCCCGTTGTGAAACCGAGGACAGGCTGCGTCCCCGTCGGCCGGCGCTCGGCCGGGTGCCCGCTCGGGCCCACCCCACCCGGCCCGCCCCAGACTTCCCCGGGCTCCCGCCCCGGCGCGGGGCCTGCGGGGTCACTCTGTTGTTTCCTTTGTGAGCAAGGAGTGTTCCAGGCTGACACGCCGACACTGCGTCACGATGCTCTTTCTCCGTCAACTTTGCCCATTTTTGTGCCCATCAGTGGTCTTGTCCGGGCAGATGCCACCGTGGTCACTGCTCCTCTCGGAATTCTCCCGCAAGGAAGCGGTGTCCCCTCCCCACTGTTACTCATCCGGCGCTGTGGTCTGTGTGGACGCGGGGGCGCTCCTTGGGCTCCCGGGGTTCCCAGCCGACAGACACTGCTGTCCATTGAGTTGGCTGCCGGGGCTGTTGGAGGGCAGCGGCTGTGTCTTCTCAGCAGGACCCGCACTTCTGTTTTCTGAAGATTTGCTTCCCAGCACGGCCCTTGCTCTGGGTGCATCGCTCCCCTTGCCCGTCCCTGGAGCGGGCCATTTTCGGGAGTCTGCATTCCCGTTAGTGGAGAATGGTGCTTCAAGTCTGAGATGGGGTCCACCCCTGCATCTGGGTGCCGCCCGCCCTAGAGGGCCATGCGTCTGCGTGGACCCTGAAGTCCAGCCCAGCCCTGCCCTGCCCTGCCCCGCCCGGCCCCCAGTCGTCTGGCCTCCTGCCCACTGTAGCCCTTCACCCCCACCCTCCTGCTCTGGGGTGCCCCCCCCCCCCCGCTCCTGTGCCCCTCAGTCTCTCGGGCCCACTCAGGGGCCTCCTGGTCCTCATGTTCTGATGTTCTGTTTAACTTGCATACAGAAAAACCCATTCTTGTCATGGATAGGTCTTTGAATTTTGCCAGATTCCTAAAGTGGGGTTCCAAACCACAGGCACAGACAGGGCGGTCCCACCACTCTGGTCTCTTCCCTCTGCCCTCCCCAGTCAGGTGACCCTGGCCCCGGCCCCGACCATTCGGCCTTCGCTTCTGTAGTCCTGCCACTTCAGGACCGTCTTATAGATGGAAACACACAGCATACAGGCTTTTGGTTCTGGCTTCTTCCACTTTAGTGGAAAACAAAACAAAACAAAACAAACCCCAAAAACAACAACAACAAAAAACCCAGGAGAGGTCAGCGGTCTGACCCGGGTGTCAGTGGCCGGAACCGCAGTGTCGCAGGCTGGTTCCCTCCGGAGGTTCTGGGGGGAATCTGCTTCCTACCTGTTCAGCTCCCGGAGGCCCTGCGACCAGGTGCCTCTGTTCCTCCCTGTCCTGCCTCCTGCAGTTTCTGGGGACCTCTGAGGACACAGGCCTGCAGGAGGGGCCCCATCAGAAGGTCAGCTGGTCGGCAAACCTAAGTGCATCCACAGCCTCAGCCCCCTCCCAGGTATCAGGACAGGTCGCAGGTCCCAGGGGCTTTTGCCTGGACACCTCGGGGGTGGGCACACAGGCGGCAGGGGCAGCGCCCGTTAGGGAAGTGGCTGCCGGGGCTGGAAACACGTGCGTGTGAACACATGCGTGTGCCGGAGGAGCGTCCCAGGACGTCAGCTGAGACCCGCCGTGCAGAGACAGGAGTGGGGGAGCGTGAGGCTCCCGCTGGCCTGCAGGCAGCATCCCCTTGGGGGGACCCCATGTGTCTGAACAGCTTTTTAAAAACGTTCTCCCTGCGGGCTGACAGAAGGTAGAAATTTTCAAAGTGTCGTACTTAGAAACGACACTTTGCATGCCTATCCTGAATCCTTCGATTTTTCTTGTTGCCGAAGTCTGGTGAGCCCTGGTTCATCGGTGACAGTCACACCACGACCTAAGGGGGGCAGAGCTGGGTGAGCCCTGTCCTGTCCTCTGAGCCTGTGCGTGCCCCGCGTGTACCCGGAGCCTCAGGGCTCGTCCTCCGGGAGCCCCGCGGCCCCAGCCTGCACAGCCGCCCCCTCCCTGGGGCGAGGCGCGCGGTCGGGGGCGCACACATTGTTCGGCAGCGGTGGTGACCGAGCAAGTGAGAGGCTGAGGTTTCTCGTCAGCGTTGTCGTGGGGCCTGTGTTCTCTGCACGTTTGTTTTAATCGCTCGGTTTCCCCAACCCCACAGCGCACTGGTCATCGCCACGGTGTTCGACCGGAACGTGAACTGCCGGCGGGCTGCCTCGGTGAGTCCCCTCTGCCTCCTTCTCCACGGTGCCCGTTCTGCGGTCGGGGCGAGGGGCCCTGCATGGCGTCAGACCAGGGGGCTGGCTGGAGGGGCCGGCCGGCTGAGAGGCCCTCTGAGGGGCTGTGACCTGGGGTGAGGGGTTACCCCGAGACCCAGGTGGTATCAGAAGTTGGACTGTGGGGGTCCGTTCAGTGCGACACGGGTCGTCCTGCAGGTGGTTGGGCTGGGGGCGGAGAGGGTCGCAGGCAGTCGGATGGAAGTCCTCACCTGGGGGCCCCTGTGCACCAGAGGCCGCCAGTTCCCCACTCAGAAGCGGTCGCGCCCCACGGGACTGCCGGGTGAGCGTGGAGGGTCTCGCTCAGGGCTCTGCGCCCTCAGGTGTGGAAGCCGAGTGCAGGTTTTTAGGTGTCAGGGGCGGAGACGTGCGTTTTGGGGGTTTTGGTGGTCGGGAGAGGGAACAAAGTGGCCGGGCCTCAGGCTTAGGCAGAGGTGTGGGGGCAGTTTGTGGGGCAGACGAGAACGAGGTCTCCACCAGCTCATGGTCACACGTTGCGCTGTCTGTTTGTGATCTGTGCACCTTCGGGAGGGTTCAAAGAAATGGACAGACAGGACCCTCGTGGAGGTGGTCCCGAGGCGGTGGTGGGCGAGGCGGGAGCGGGGCGGGAGCAGGGCGGGGGGGGGGGCGCGGGAGCGGGGCGGGCGTGGGGGTGGGAGTGGGGCGGGAGCGGGGCGGGAGTGGGAGCAGGAGTGGAGGGCAGAGCACAGGGTGTCCCACCTCCTTCCACACGGGCGGCCGCAGTGCCGGGGACGTCCTCAGGCCCTGCTGACAGGGCACACGTTTGGGTTGTGAGTGTCACGGCCAGGCTGACTGACCCCAAGGTCACCTGCCAGGCCGGGGACCCCTCCCAGGGCCTCGGGGTCTCTTCCCCTCAGCCTCCTGACCCTTTATCCCAACACTCGATCTGGCCGTTTGGCTTTTGTCTGACTGGTTGGTTTCGGTCTGTTCCGTTTGTACGTCCAGGCCTAAATCCCGCTGTGACCTGAGCCACTCGGGGACACTGTGCAGGGTGGGCTGGCTTTACGGACTTGACGCGTCAGGCTGTGGTTTCAGGGGCGTGAAGACAGAGCGACCACCACGCTGGAGGCTCTGACGGGCCACAGTGAGGACCTTTACGGAAACCGAGCAGAGCCGTGGGTCATTTGCTGTGAATCTCTCCTGGTGTCTAGCCAGGTGCAGGCTCACCGACTGCTGTTTGCTCTTCTGCCCTAGGCTGCTTTCCAGGAGAGTGTGGGAAGACAGGTACGGCTGTGTCTTGAACCTCCGTTCCCGCGGCGTCCCGTGGGGCCAGAGGCAGACGCCCCGAACACCGAGTGTCCCCCCGCAGCGCTAGGCACGGCGCCCCACTGACCTGGATGAAACCGACGCCTGGCCTGGCTCTGGTCCCAGGCTGACGCGCGGCGTGACTCGGGGCGGGGGGGGGGGGCTGGCACGAGCTTTAAGCAGTTGCTCGGGGAACCCGAGTGTGGGAGCGGCCTACACACACGTCCGGACTCAGTGCCTTATGCCGTGGGGGGACGCGCGGGGGTCCAGGAGGGTCCGAGCGCTGGCCGGAGGGGGAGGGCCCCGGGCACTCTCTCGGGGGGAGTGGGGGCGGCCGGGACACAGCCTCCCCTTGGACGCACGGCGGCCTCCGCCCGAGGCTGGTGGGCTTTGCTGGCGAGCCAGCCCCTGTCTGTGAGGGTCTGCACGGGGACGGGTTCCCGAACTCCTTGTCGTGACCTGGGGTCCAGTCTTAGCCTCAGTCCCTCATCGTCACGGTGACCGGGAGCTGGCTGTCCGAGCACTTGTCCCCCTCAGTGACGGCCTCTGCCACTGCTTGTCACGTCCCTGGGACAAGCTGGCCGGGCCCGCCGCCTCCCTCCTGTGGTCTGTGGCTGTGGCTCTCACTGGGGTTTGACAGTTGGTCATTTAAGTCTTTTTAGAAAACTCGTTTGGTTTCAGGAGTGAGAGCCACATTGGTAATGACTCGCAGACTTTGGGGCTGGGTGAGGGTCATGGGGGGCCCCTCCATCTCCCCATGGATGAGTCTGCTCCTGGGTGTTACTCACTGTCCGGCCCGGGTCGCTGGTTCTTACAGGGCTGTGGGCCCCCGTCCAGGCCCCCCAGGACCCCCAAGGGCGCGTGGGCTGGGCCCCTGCACCAAGACGGGCGCAGGCCGACTGCCCCGGCCCCTGGCTTTAACCCTGCTGGCGTCTGATGGCTCTCTGCGGGGTGTGCTGGAGGAAGGGCTCCTCCAGATCGTACATTAGGAGGGATGTCTGATTTGTTTGGAAAACGCTAAATATTCTTAAGTGGTTCAGATGTTCATAGTGCCGTTTGCAGCCAGGGTGGGCGCTCGTGGGGAGGACTGGGCGCGGGCGGCCCGGGGCAGGCCTGTCTGGCCTCCCGGGGTGCGGGCGTGACCCCGCCCGGCCGTGGCAGCGGGCTCGCGGGGCGCCTCCGCTCCTCACTGTGTTCTCATGCGCTCCTGCTCTTCCTTGTCCTTAGGGCACCTTCCCTCACGGAATCGACATTCTGACCACAGCTGACTATTTTGCTGTTGGCAACAGATCTAACTGTTTCCTGGTTATAAGGTAAGTTTTTAACGTTCATCACAAAGGAGAACATCCTCTTTGATTTAGATGTTTAAAATCTTCAGTTCCTGCCATCTTCTCTCTTCGCCCTGGAAGGCTGAGCAGGTGTGATTTACGGGTGAGAAGCTGAAGCCACGTGGAGTCGGGAACTGTTCCCAGAACCCGCGTAGAACCTCGGGGCAGGGGTGGGGGGGCAGCGGACCTGCCGGCCTGCAGAGGCCAGGGATCCGATGGCGGAGAGCAGCTCGCCTTGCGAAGGGCTGTTTGCAGTCTTGGGAGCGCGCTGGGCGAGCGCGCTTGCGTCTGAGCCGACCTGTCGTGTCGGCGCTGTTTCTGGGGAGGGCTCGGTGTCCCGTGCCACTGGCCGCACGCCGTCAGTGCTGCTGCTGGTGACACGCGAGGGCCGAGTCTCTCCCAGAGAAACCTCGGGTCAGGAGCGACCGTGTCTCTCCTGCCGTGCCCATGAGCAGTGTTGTCCTGGTTGGAGCCGTGTCCTCCGGGTGGTTCACGCGGTCAGCGAGGGAGCAGTGTGTGAGGGGCCGGGTCCCGGGATGAGCGTTAACATCCTGAGTGCGGCTGGCAGAAGTGCCGCCAGAGCCTCTCCACGGGGGCCGAGGGGTGGGACCGGCGTCCGTGCCGCGGTGCGCCTGCCGCTGCACGAAGAGGGGAGCGTCGGTTTTTGAGGGTGCTCTCTTGGGGAGGGGCGATGCACGTGCGCGGTGAATTCCCCAGAAGCTGCCGGAGGGTGAGCTTGGAGGCCGAGTCTGTCTCGTCTCTCCTTTCAGCCCCTGGGCTGCAGGCCGGGCGTCCCCCTTGTCCCTGGCTTCTTGTCCCTTCCAGAGATTTGGTCACTTCACACGTGTGGCCACACTGGCTTCCCTCCTCGTTGGACGGGGGCCTCACGTGAGCACAGGGTGCCCGTCAGCCAGGCACTGTCAGGCGGGGGCGTGCTGCTGTCCCTGTGCTGCGCAGGACACCTGTGTGCCGTGCCCAGCATGCTCCGCCCCGCGTCCCGAGTGGCCCATGTCCTTGGTCTGCCCCTCCTGGCTGCCGGCTCCTCCAGCCTCTGCTCTTGTCAACTGTGCGAAGGACACGTTTCTGTGCCTAGACGGTCTCATCGTCTCCTTGAGTAATTGCTCACGAGGGGACGTCGGTGTATTTAGCGGGACGGGGAGCTGTTGGAGTGGAGGCACCATTTGCACGAGCAGGGCAGGAGCGCCCGGCTCCTCCACGGGCTCACCGCCCCCCCACCCCCGCCCCCGGGGTCTTGTCTTCCAGCACGCATATCGCCGGCTTTCCCGAGTACACGCGGCCGATGATCGACCACCTGCTGACCGTGAAGATCAGCCACTGGGACGGGTGAGCCTCACATTTCTGCGTTTATGTCACGGGGCGCCTTACAGAGTTCCTTTTTTAACCGTGTTTTATTTATTTCCATGATCTCTATTAAAGTAGAGCTGACATACGATACCACATCACATCCGGGTGTTTCGTAGTGATTCGATCCTTGCAGGATTCTTTACAAACACTTTCGGAGGGCACCTTTGTCAGCATCAGTGAATGCTTCTAAGGGGTGTCGGGTCCACTGTCTGGGGTTTCTTTTTAAAGGTTTTCTGCTCACATTTACCCCAGGTAATTCATATATCAAAGCAAACATAATTTAAAACATTTTTTACTGCGGTAAAACGCACGTAGTACGCCACTTTTAGTGTACAGTTCAGTAAAGTGCATTCATCTTTTTGTGTGAACACTCTCCAGAACTTTCCATCTTACAGACTGAAACTCTGTCCCCATTAAACAAGCCCTGTTGCCCCCGGCCCCCCGCCCCACTGCCCGTGTCCATGAGTCCGCCTGCTCCGGGGCCCTCGTCCGGAACCGCACGCGTGTCTGTCCTCCCATGTGTGGCTGGTTTCAGTGCGTCTGATGTCCTCCGGGTCCCTCCGTGCTGCGGCAGGAGTCGGCAGCCCCTTCCTTCGTGAGGCTGAGGAGTGTCTCCCTGCTGCTCTAACCACACTTTTTAGTCCATTCATTTGCTCACGGACCCTGGAGTGGCTGCGGCTCCTGTGGCTGCTGCGGCTCCTGCCTGAGGACTCGGGTTGGGCACCTCCCTGCCCTGCGCCCAGTGCCGTGGGGTGTGCGCCTGGGGCAGAGCCACCGCGTCACTGCGGTTCTGACTGTTTTAGGGGCCTCCAGAACCATGCAGTTTTTTCTAGCGGCCGCACCATTTTACATTCCCACCAGCAACGCACAGGGGTTTTGGTTCGGTCCCCAGGAGTGGGCAGGGGTGTTTGACTGTGGTTTGGTTGGCATGTCCCTGGGGGCCGCTGACGCTGAGCGGCTTCCGTGTGCCTGTCGGCCGTCTGTGCTTCGTCCTCGGGGGGTCGTCTCCTCGGGTGTTTGCCCACCTTCAGATGCAGGCGCTTGTCTGGGGGGGCTGTGGGGGTTCTCGCCACGTCCCGGACGGCTGGTAGGGAAAGGACCGGTGCGGCCGGCAGATGCTGCCCTGTTCCACGCACCACCCTTTCACTGTCGGCCGTGTCCTTTGATACAATCGGAAGTTTTAAATTTTAATATAGCCCAGATAGCTATTATCAGCCTACCTGATTTTGCTCTTGCTGTGTGTGTGCTCTTGGTGTTGAAGCCAAGAAATCACGGCCAAGTCTGAGGTCGTGAAGCACTGCCCCCACCTTCTGTGGAGAGTTCACGGCTCCAGGCCCTCTCGTGGCTCCTCCCAGCACTCCCCCTCCGAGGCCCTCAGGGGCGCGAGGTGGAGCTGCTCCTCCAGCCAGCGCTGCGGAGGCAGCAGCTGTGTCCCGAGACGGGCCTGCGAGTGGGTGCTGTCCTCCGCAAAGTCCTCCTTCCTCACCCGTTACAGTCGGAGATTCTTACGTGTTTGTGTGGTCGCTGTCAGTAGCGGTTTGGACGCAGTGGCCAGCTGACTCACGTGGACTATCTCGCTCTTCGTGAGCGGAACGCAGCCGGAGCCACCACAGTGGAGGGGCTCAGCTGTCTGTCCCCTCCCCACCAGGGTCATCAGAGAGCTGTCGGCGAAGGCGCTCTGCAACCTGGTCCAGCGGGCCCCCGAGTACGGCGCCACTCAAGGTGAGCGTGCTCCAGCCGTCCCGTGGGCCTCTCACAGGCACACATGCTTGCGCCACAGACGTGCACACGTGTGCACCCCAGACAGGCACAGGCTGCCCTGCAGGGCTCAAGGCCCGGGGGGGCTGAAAATAGTGTTTTTCTCCTGCCGAGAGTCGGGGGACAGAGTGCAGACCAGTTGCCATGGTCTCTCCGAGGACAGACGCTGTGAGGGCTGTGGTGTGCGCCCACCGGGAGCTCCGTGCTGCGCCCTGTGTGGGTGCCGGTCTCGGCAGGGGGTGGATGGGGTTGTGTATGCCATGCATACTTCAAAAAAAAAAAGAGAAAGAATTCCTCAGGTGATAACCTAAAAACTGAGCTGCTTCCTGGGGGCCTTGGGGGCAGCCCGCAGCGTCTGGGGGCGCCCCCGTGCCCGCCCGGGTGGCGCATCCGCGTCCACGGGGACCCCACTGCCCGTCGCTACGGGAAGAGCGCTCTCGTCCCGTCTTCCACTGGGAACAAATGGGCCTCTGCTCTCAGCACGGGAACCACACACGTGCTCGGAATTGCACTTGTTCCCACGGTGTTCATCAGAGCAGCTGGTGCTCCGACCGCGGCTCCCGCCTTGCAGTTTCCGGTTTTACTCACCTGTGCGAGCAACGCGCTGGGGCCCGTGGTGGCTCTGAGGGCCCGGTTTCAGCTTCGTGGTGTCAGGGGCCTGGCGCTGGCTGACCTGGAGCCCGTAAGCGTTGCTGCCGGAAAGGAGGGCTCGGCGTGGCCCTGTCTCCCGAGCCCAGGAGCGCTCAGGGCCCCAGGACGAGGGGTTTCCCCGGGTCTCAGACACCGGTGCTACCTGCCGCCACGCGGGAGTGCCGGACGGGAGCTCTCTCGGCTTGGACGCTGTCCGCTTTCACGGCCTCCGCGGGGCTGCACTCGTGCGTTCGGGGAAGCTGCGGCTCCGGGGCTGTGGAGTGCACTCCTGGGACATCTCCTCTCCTGTCCTTGCAGTTTTCCCACGCCTGCTGTCCATGACACGGAGCCCGGACCTGCACACCCGGCACGGGGCTGTGCTCGCCTGTGCCGAGGTCGCCCACAGCCTGTGCGCGCTGGCCGTGCGGCAGAACAGGTAGGGGAAGCCCTGTCCTCCTGCTGAACCAGAGAGCTTGACCCCAGAGTCCCACAGTTCACTCCGTGGCCTGTCACTGGCCCTCTCTCCTCTGGTGAGCTGCGGCCTTCGCTGGACCACACGCCTCTCCCTCGGGGCGGCAGTGAGCATGTGGCCAGCTGGGGCCGCTGTCGGCCATGAGCGCCCGTACGGGTGGACGGCTGTGTAGCAGGTGCCACGAGGAAGGGAGTCCTGCACCCATCACGGTGACACCTGCACTGTGCCGGGGGCTCCCGAGGGTGCAGGAGCACCCGACCGTGAGAACGCTGGAGTGCCACAGCGCCGGCCACTGTCGAGCCCTCAGTGCATCGCTGTGTTTTTGTGGGTGGGGGGTCGGCCTCGGCCTCGATGGACACGCAGTGTCCTTGGCACGGGACGCGGCCCGTGGCTGTGTCCAGGTCAGCACACGTGTCCTGAAGTGTGAGTGAGGTCACAGGAGCAAGAAGGGGTTCCTGGAGACGAGGTGGTGCTGAGTAGCCCATGTGCTTGGTGACCTTTGCCCTTCGTCCTTTGTCCTTGTACTGATTGAAAACTCCGGAGCGTAGACTTCCAAGTTTCCTCTAAGAACCTCCTCCATGGGGAGCAGGCACGGACAGTGAGGCAGCCACGGGGCCCTGTGGGCAGGCCCACACTCGAGGGTGTCGGGGACGGCACCACTTCATCTTCTGGCCTTTCTGTCCCGCCTCCTGTCCTCTGCAGTAAAAGCCCCTCCACCAGGGACAGCGGGACAGTGTAACTTGCTGCTTAAACAGCAATTTAAGAAAAACTGTGTAATTTGCATCGCTGTCAGTAGGTGGTTCCTGGGAGTGTGGGGGCAGCATGACAGGGGAGGGACTGAGTTTACCGGGAGGGCTGGTGGTCTTCCCCCGCACAGCAGGACGCCTGCTCCCCCGCACGGGCTGTGCAGGTGGAGGTGCCGTCTACCAGGAGGGTCCGGGAGGTGCGCCCAGGTTTCTGCTGGGATCAGTCACGTGGGTGTGCTCCACCTGCAGCCCCAAATCCCATCTCCCGGAAGACAGCCAGGGTCCAGCAGGAGCCAGCTGGCTGTGTGGTTCCGGCGCAGTCACCCTTGTCCGTAGCGGGGTGGATGGTGGGAACCCTCCTGGAACCGGAGCTCCTGCCTGTCACGGGGCCCTGGCCTCAGCCACTGCAGACCCAGTCTCTCTGCCAAGGGTCACACCAGCTGTGGGGAGCCTGCTGCTCCTCGTCCACGAAAGGGACTGTCCCACTCATCAGCGAACTGCCCGTGGGTCCCAGCCTTACCGATTCGGTCCCGGTGGCCTCTCCCTGGAGTGGGTGCTGCTGCAGGGGAGGACCTCCTGCAGGAGCCTGCGGGAGCCGGTGAAGCACCTGGACAAGGGGAGGGCTCGCCGCGCCCGCGCCCCGTGGTGCCCAGGTCTCACACGCTGTGTCTGGACTCCTGCAGGCCCGTCGCAGACTACCTGGACGAGGCCGTGGTGCAGGGCCTGAAGCAGATCCACCAGCAGGTCTGTGCGTGGGGGGGGCGTGTCCTGCCACACCCCGGGCTCTCCCTGCCCTCCGCGGCCCTGGGGTAGGGGGCGGCCTGGGCTCCATCGGATGGGGCGGTCCCTGTTCTCCCTAGACCAGCCCCGTGGGGTTTGTGTGGGAGGGAGAGCATCTCTTCTCAGGTGGCGAGTGTCTGTCTCCTGGGCAGAACGTCCAGCCCTGGTGGGGCTGGGGCAGCCAGGCCAGTGCAGGTGGACCAGCCCCTCACGGAGCTCCCCGGGTGCCTGGCGTCTCCTCCCTCAGGATCCTCCGTGGCCTGGGCTGGTTTCCACCCCGGGGGTGGTTCTGCTGGGACTCGGGGCGGCACAGAGGCCTGGGGTCCCCGGCTGTGCCCTTGTGGCGGGCGCCCAGAGTCTGTGTGCTCACTGCTCTGGGGAGGGGGCTGGTTTTCTGTTTTCCAGCTGCTCAGAGGGCCCGGGCCCTGGGGTGGTGAGCCCCGGTGTTGCGGGGCAACAGCAGACTCGCGACGAGGCCTCGACGGCCTCCCTGTCTGTTGTCCCCGACTGACTTCTTACTCCTCATGCGATGGTGCACGCTGACCGCAGACGCTCACGTGGGCGTGTGCCCTGACCCTGACCCTGCTCTGCGACTTAGGCCAGGCTCTCTCCACCCCACAGTGGGGTCCGGCCTGTGCCCCCAGGTGTCGGAACGCTGTGGCGGCGTGCAGACGGACCCGGGGTGCAGTGCGGCCGCGCACCGTGGCTTCCCTCTCCCGTGGAGTGTGGGGGGCCACAGCCCCCTTCCCGGGGTTCCCTCCCAGGCAAGGGGAAGAGCAGTGTGGGCCCCCGGGCATGCGAGGCTTCTGAGTTCCGCAGTGGAACAAGCGTCACCAGAGCCCTGGGTAGACCCGCCCCCAGGGCCTCGGTTTCCCCTCCCGGTGAGGCTGTCCTGAGGGTTCAGCGAGGTGCTCGCAGAGAGTGGAGTGGGCTCTGTCCTTGAGGCCGCCCCGCTCGGGGCAACGGTCAGCGCGGGGCGTGGTCAGTGGGCCCTGTTTCCTCACCGGCGTCACTCACTCCCTTCCAACTGTCCAGGTAACTCACACCGTCAGTAACCTCCCGCTTCTTCTGTTTCCAGCTCTGGGACCGCCAGCTGTACAGGTAAGCTGCCCAGACCCAGACGCTCCCGCGGGCGTTTCACCGAGTGACGCCTGTGGCTGGTCGGCTCGCCTGCCGGCGCCGAGGGCAGCTCCGCCCTGTGGTCCTGCGGCGTCTGTCTCTGTCCTTTTACTGGGCTGTGGGTCACCGTCCCTTCCCGTGAGGAGGGGAGGGGTCTGCCCCCGCCGGTCTGCTGCACGTGGGGGGTTCGCCTGGAGCACAGCAGCGCCGCCCGGTTGGGGTGCAGAGACGGTTGGGGCGCGGAGACGGTGGGGTCCGGCAGGCCCGCCCGCGGAGGCTCGCCGCCCTGACTCTCTCCTGCGGCCCTGCCGCCCGAGGTCGGCTCTCCGGCCCTACAGCACTGTCCTTTCCGAGTTGCAGGCGGACGGGGTTGGCCTGCAGTCTTCGTGCCGGTCTGTCTCCGAGCATCATGTCTGAGACCTGCGGGGGTGTGTGTGTGTGTGGGGGGGGGCGGGTGTTGTGTGTGTGTGCCAGTGTGCCCACCGGGTCTCTGGGGGTGGACGCCTGGGTTGTCCCCACTGTGGCTGCTGCCTGGGGGACAGCTGCTGTGAGCTCTGACATGGCGCGGACGGGTGGTTTCGTTTTGGGGCGAGGGCCCAGGAGCGACGTGGCCGGGTCACGTGGCTCCTCTCTGCTTCTCAGACTCTGAGAAGCGGCGACGTGTCCCGCCCCTCGCTCTCGTCAGGGCCGCCCCCCGGCGGGAGCTGACCTGCTGGTGGGCCTCCCCTGGGGCCGGCGGCCTTCCCCGTGGAGGGGCTGTCCGACCTGCCGCGCGTCAGCAGGCCTCCCAGTCTGCCTGTTCGCCGAGCCGTCAGCGTCTCACGTGTTCTGCGTATGAGCTCTTTGTAGACGTGGCAGGTACCAGAATCTTCTTCCTGTCTGTGGTTCGCCTTTCCATGTTTCCTGGAGGCTCTGTAACAAAGCAGTAGGGTCGTGAACTTCAGCCTTGTCCCGCCTCCAGCTCCCCCGAGAGCGGGGCCTGTGCAGGGACCCGGACCGCCGCTGCGGCCCCTGGAGACGCCTGGGCCTGCGGAGCGCTGTCTCGGGTCTGTCAGGGCCAAACTGACGACGGCTGCTGGGAGCAAACTCCCCACACGCTGAGAAAGTGCTCTGGAGACGGCACTTGGACAGCCTGTTCACGCCTCAGGGTCACGGAGGCGACCCAAGGAGGGGACGGGGACTCCGCGGGTCGCAGGTCGAGGGGGCGGGGGAAGGGCAGCGGGGACTCCGGGACTGGATGGAGAGTGCGGCCGGGAGACCTCCATGTGCACATGATGGGGGTGGCCGAGGACAGCGCCAGTGCGCGGAGCTGGCGGGGCCTGGAGGAGGGGACCGAGGGGGGCTCCGAGGTCTCCCGAGGGGCCTGGAGGAGGGGACCGCGTGGAGGTCCCCCGGGTGGGCTGCCTCAGATGCACCGGGCGGGAGACCGACGTCGGAGAAGCGTCCTCTCAGACGGCAGGGACCGAGGTGGGGCTTGCTGGAGGCAGAGTCTGACCTTTGTCCAGGGAGCTGCCGGCCGAGGACGTGACCGCCCACCAGACCCGCCGTCGGCCGGGGACCACTGTGTCCGGGACACCCTGTGCGGTCATGTCCTGTCTGAGTCCCGGACCCCCCCCCGACCCCGACCTGGTCGGAGCTGCGGCGGTGCAGAGCAGAGGTGTCTGCGGGCACCCGTGGGCGCCTCACCGGTTCTGAGTGCACGTCGGCTCTTCGGTGGTGAGGTTTCTCCCTGGGTGACGAGTCTGGAGAGTGAACAGAAAGGGTAGCACCCTTCAGTGAGGTCGGCGTGGAGAGGCGAGTTGTGGGACCCCCTGTGGGGGAGACCTGGCCGGAGAGCATGGTGGGGTGCCCGCAGGCCCGGGGCGAGCTTCGTCGGCGGTCAGTGTCTTGACCGTTCGCCTGGTTTCCTCCAGTGTGTCTCTCCTTACGGGCGCGTTACTTGACTTTCTTTGTGGGAAGCACGTTGTGGGCCTGGTGTTGCCTCTGCAGAGCTTGAGAGAACACGTCACTGAGGGGCAGGGGCCCCGTCCCGGGCAACCACGCGCCCCCACCCTCCTCGCCCGAGGCGTGGGCGCTGCCCCCCGGAGAGGGGGTGTGAACTCGGGGTCTCTCGGTCGTCCCCTCTGGAGCCGTCCCCACGGAGCCGCGAGCGGCTGCGGCTCCTGTGCTGCGTCTGGCGTCAGCACTCCTCCTCCCTCCCCGCTTCTCGCGGCACCCCCCCTGACGGAGCCGGGCGGTTGCCCTCAGTGACGTCGCGCATTCTGTGTCCTCTGGGTCGCCGCGTCGTGGCTGGCTCTGGCGTCCCCGGGGCCTGGCTGCCGGGGCCACTCGTGCCGTCCCGGGGAGCAGGCGTGCCAGTGCGGCTCCCCGAGGGGGTGAGGCTGAGTTTGACCGCCGGGCTCAGGGGCGGCCTCCACGGGGTCCCGTGTGCCAGTGCGTGAGCTGGGGAGCGGGCTGGCTTCGAGATGGGAGCGACCCCGATTTCCAGCACCTCTCTCCTTGCCTTGACCCGTGGCCATTCTGAGGCCAGAGCCCCTCATTCTTTCTACACTTGTTCCCTGGGCCTTGGGGGCACGGAACCACTTCCCCCTCCTCTAGCGCGTCGAGGCAGGTTTGCGGGTTCCCCCCTTCCCTGGGCCTCGTCACCCACCAGCATGGCTGCGCTCCCCCCTTGCCCGTGCCGCCCCTGCCTGCCCCCCAGGCGCCTGTTTGAACCAGCTCCTCTCACTTTTACACGATTCCTTTAGTCTCGGAGAATTTCCTTGTGGCAAGATTTGTGTCAAGCTCTCCCTTGTGTTATTGTGGGTTTTCTCCCACTTCTGTTGCATCCAGTGCAGTTCTGCTTCCCAGGTATGCGTGTGTGTGTGTGTGTGTGTGTGTGTGTTTGAAGTTGCACTGGTCTCCTTTACACCTCCAGTGTCTCCTCCTGGTGCCTGTGCCTCCCTTCCCTTCTGGGACGTGCGGAGAGTCTGTCTGAAGCTGCGGCACTGACCGCATGTGCTCGCGCTGCTGGCTGGGCGTTTCTGCATCTGCCTGTGTCCATCGTTCTCCTTGCAGTCGCCTGGTGGTGCTCAGCTGGACGCCAGGCTGCGCGAGGCTTTCCTCGCTGGGACTGGGTTTGTTCCGTTTCCCGGGGCCGTGCTGGCGGCGGCGGCGGCTGGGCACCGCGTCGGTCGGTCGGGGTCAGCTGGCCCTTTCAGAGCCTGCAGCAGGCCCAGGACAGGCTCGCCAGCTGCCCGCCGATCCTGGCTGCGGGCGCTGCCGGGCCCGTGTGCGACCAAGGCCCTGCCAGCAGCCCCGTGGTTCCTGGGAGTGTCCCGCCGCCTCCTTCCAGGCGCTTCTTCTCTCTCAGGTTCAGGCAGCTTTTTGTCTTGCCCACGCTGCGGCCTGGGAGGCCCCCTGCAGAGCCCTGGCGCCGCCTCTGTGCTGCTCCTGCTGCCCCCTCGGCCTCCCGGCCTCCCCCTCGCGTCCTGGCCTCGGTCCGGGCCTCCTCGGCTCAGCGGGAGGGCGGCTCCCTGGGGCTTCCTGCACGCCCTGCTCTGCGCCTGGAGCGTCCTCCTCGGCGGGGCGGCTCCCAGTGCCTGACACTTTGTTTCCTCTGGTTCTCTAGTTGTTTCAGGCAGGGGGCAAACCTGGACCCTGTTTCTTTATCTGGGTCCGAAGCCAAAGTCTCAGAAATTCATTTCCCGCTTTATTGTTTATGTTCACGTTCACCGATTTCCTGTTGTCGGCGCTAGATACTAATCAGGTGTAACTGCGAGCTAGCAAAACGGTGCTGTCCACCACGGCGCGTAAGGGGGTGCTCCCTTGGGCCAGATGGTGGGGCCTCCTGGCGCCTTCAGTCCCCTCAGTCTTTACAAAGTGCAAGTCGGACTCGGTCCGGTGCGAGGCACACCAGTGGGGGCCGCAGTGCACGCTGAGGAGCTCAGTGAGAGCCGGACGTCCCGGTGACGCCGGGCAGGGTGCCGGCGTCTGGGGGTGGCTGCAGGACGTCTCCTCACCTCTTCCTCCAGGAAGGCAGCGCTCTGTGAGTGGAACTGCTGTGAAACAACACTGAGTGTCCAGGGGAGCTGAAAGAGAAAGCCGTCCTCTCCGGAGCGGGTGTTGCTGCACTGCAAGGGGGTGGGATTTACACAGCCTGGTCGATGCGCGAGGTCTCCGCTGGGAACGGGAAGCAGGGTGTGCGGGCAGACACTGCGCCAGCGCCCGCCCTCCAAGGGGGGTCCTGCCTGCAGTGACGTGTGCTGACGATCAGCACCCTAGTGTCCAGAGCTGAGGTTGCCTGGCAAGGATCTTTTGTGTTGTTTTAGGTGCTAAGGGGTTTTAACTCTGATGTTTTTACTCCATTTCAGGGGCCTGGGAGGAGAGCTCATGAGACAAGCAGGTGGGTCGGAGCGACTGAGGCTGTGGCTGGTGTGCCCACCACGGGGGACGGGAGTCAACACCGCTCCTCTCAGCACTGCGGGCGGCGAGCTGGGCCTTCGCACCTGCGGGTGGCGGCGCTTCTCCGCCACCCATGCCCTGTGCTGCCCGGAGGCCCTGGTTTTCGGCTCCCGTGGGCTTCGCTGCGTGTGAGCGGCCGCAGGGCCGCAGCCGCTGACTGGGACAGGAGGGCGGGCGGGGGGTGCCTGTGTCTGTCGCAGAAGGGCTGGACGCGGCTGTCTCAGCCTCTCCACCCACATTTCCATCAACTGCAGAGCAAAGAATAATTTCTCAGGTTATTTTTAAATGTTTGCAAGGGACTCACTTGACGCCAGCATGCAAGCATCTAGATTTCCTGATGCCTTTTCAGCTAAACCTGGAAAACCCAGGACCCACCTACTTATCTGGCGGACTGTCATAGGCGCCGGGCTCAGGTCCGGACGGGCCTCTCCCCCCCAGAGAGGAGAGCGGGCGAGGTGGGGGCTCGCAGGTCCTGAGTGACAGATGTGCCCCCCGAGGCCAGGGTGGGGAGTGATCGCAAAGACAACTCCCTGCCCGATGGTGGGGGTGGCCACCCCGTCCCCACCCCGAGGTGCAGGACACGGGGACAGCAAGGTGGGCGCTGCGGCAGCTGCTCTGGGAGAAGTGATGTTGCCTTTGTCTTCTTTCTCCCCAGTGTGTGTCCTGATAGAGAAGCTGTCCCGCTCCCGGATGCCCTTCAGAGGCGATGCCGTGATCGGTAGGTGCCTCTCCCCAGCGACTGACGCGGCATTTTCCTCCAGGGCTCCTGCAGACTGGAAAGTAAAAATGAAACTTTTTTTCCATGGACGGAAGGTAAAGTTTCATGACGTTGGGATGCCGGCCTTCAAGTGGCCACAAGAACCTGTTGTCAGTGACAGGCACCCGCCACCCAACCCTGGTGCTCGCAGGCCCAGGGGAGGCGGCCGGGGTGGGGGGCTGCCCGTGCGCAGAGGACAGGCCCTGTGCCGCCTGGCATGTCCGGGGCGCGCACACGAGCCGCACACGCACCTGCGCTGCGCCATCGCTGCCCCGCAGCCTCAGAAAACAGTGGGTTCAGCCTCACTGCCAAGTGTGGGGCCTCGCTGGGTTGAACGTTTGGGTTTTTACTGGTGGGGACTTGGGGGTTGTCTGAGGGGGATGCACAGGAAAGGTCCACCTGAAGCTTGCAGGTGTCATTAAAGAACAAAAGTTTTCCTTTATTTTAAATTTTTTTTAAAAACTGTATTTTTAGAGAGGAGAAGGGAGAAAGACAGGGAGACAAACATCAATGTGTGGTTGCCTCTCGCGCGCCCCCTACTGGGGACCTGGCGCACAACCCAGGCATGTGCCCCACCTAGACCAGGAACTGAACCTGCGACCCTGTGGTTCGCAGGCTGGTGCTCAATCCACTGAGCCACACCAGCCCGGGCTCCCGTTGTGCCTTGAACCTGAAGTCCTCGGAGTCTGTATGGCCTGGAGGATGGTCAGGTTCTCTCCAGACCCACCTCAGTGTTTACAGTGTTGACCACCTGCTTTGATTTGAGAGGCAGGAGATCCGCCTGTTGTTGACTTTCGTTGTATCTGAGGAGTCTCAGCAGTGACCTGGTGACGGGTTCTGTGTCTCTGACAGATGGCTGGCAGTGGCTGATAAACGACACTCTGAGGCATCTCCACCATATTTCCAGTCATTCCAGACAGCAGATCAAGGTGTGGTAGGCACGGTCTTTCCAGTTGCTGCACTGTATTGAGCGTGACGTTATTTTTTAGTCTTTGTTTTGAAAGACTGCACTGTGGGTCGCACTGATGTGATCGGGACCGTCAGTGTACTCGGGCTTCCGGGTGGCTCTGTGTGTGGGGTCCGTAGCCGGGAGAAGTAGCTCAGCGACGGGAGACTAGAGCGTGTGAGGCTTTTGGGTTGCTGTTTCCGGGGTCACCCTCCCCCGAGCCTTCTCCCTTCACACCCCGAGCTCTGCGTCCTCTTGCTCAGAGGCCCGCGGGGTGGGGAGCGGCGTGTGTGAGGCCACACGCAGGTGAGCAAGCTGCAGCTGGAGTCCCACTGTGCTTGTCACGTGGGTCATTTCTGGGAAGCGTGTGCGGGGCCCCGGGCCACGCTGGGGACAGGTGACAGGGCCTGCCAGGCGAGGCCCTCGGGGACTTGGCTCCGGGGTCGAGGACGGGAGACGCGAGTGGACGTCTCTGCCCCCCCCCCGGGCGTCTCGGCCTCGCTGCCGGGGTTATTAGCAGGGTGCTTCTCCAGCGTCCTTCTCCTTCAGTGATTTGTCCTTGCGTGGAATGTAAGGACAGTTTCCTTGGCCGCGTGTGAGGGCTTCAGGACCGTTGCCACCACCTTTCCCTGTCAGAAGACACCCGTGACCGAGGCATGCCAGCCCTGGTACTGGCGCTGTCGGCTGTTGGCGTGGGTGCACGGGGCCTCTCGGCGTGACGCCCGCGATGAGGCCCCTCCGTGTGCCCCGAGCCTCTCTGGCTGCTCCCGCTCTGGGGAGTGGAGGCGGCCTGCGGCCCCGGCAGGCCTCCCCGCGTCCCCGCCGCCTCCCACCCTCCACCCTGCTTGTGCGGCCCTGCTGGGCTCCGGCGCTGAGGAGCCCCTCCTGGTCCTGGGGCCGCTGGGCCCCCAGCTCCCCGTGCAGCCTGCCCAGGGTCCTTGCCCAAATCCTGTCTGGGGTGTTACATGCACCTTCCCTTTCACGACCTGCGCTGGGGAAGAAAAATGCCACTTTATTATTAACTGTTCACACTGTAAGGCACAAAATTTGCACAGCATGGAAGGAAAAGGAAGTGCTGTGCTTGGCTTATGATTGTTTGGAAAGGAGGGCAGGTACAGCTCCCCGGCAGACGACGACCAGCAGATGTGCCGGAAGGAGCGATGCACGTTAGCTTCCCCCCAACTGAACCGGGGGCCCGACCGCAGAGTGGCCCAGGGGGCCCGGGGGCTGCGGGGCCGCTCATGTCTCACGTCCCACGTCGTTTCAGGAAGCGGCCGTGGCCGCCCTGGCTGCCCTCTGCAGCGAGTACTACGCCGAGGGACCCGGAGAGGCGGCCGGCGCTGGGCACGGTGAGTGGCTGCCGGGCGGACGGCCCTCAGTCCTCTGGGGGTGTGGGGGGACCATGAGGGGCAAGCGGCTCGGCTCGGGGACCCGACCCCCCCGGCGGGCCCGCGCCCCGCTCCCCGGGTGGGCGCAGCAGCACGGAGGAGCGTCTCTCCCGGCCCGGCCTGGAGGTCGGCCTCCCCAGGACACAGCGCCGCTGGGTGACGTGCGGAGTCCCCTCTTCTTCCAAGGGGACTGTTTCCCCCCTTTTATCAGGTCCTCCTCCTGCCTCTGTCCCTCGTCCTCCTCCGCCTCCACTGTGCGCTCTCCCGCACCTCTGTGTGCGCCGCGTGCTGACGTGTCCCTGACACCCGTGTCTGGTCAGCTCAGGGCCGTCTGCTCTGCCGCCCCACGACCACCGGCTCAGCCCGTGGTGACAGCGCAGCGTCTGCTCTTCCTGGCTGAACGTGCTTTTGGAGTTTTCATGTGCCCTGCGGGCTCTTCCCCGCTCACGGGGCCAGCGCGCGTGCTGCTGCGCTGCCCAGCCGGCACCCGGGCGTCCCCGGCACCCCCCTGCACGGTGCCCTTCGCAGGACCTCCCCCGCCAGGGTTACCCGCACCTCCGAAAGCCTTGCAGCCCCTTCCCTGCCGCCTGTGGCCTTCCTTCCCGTGACTCAGAGGCCAGGCACCGGTCCCTCCCCACGCAGGCGACATCTCAGGTGGCTGTGAGTGCGTAAAATCGCGTGTGCAGCAGACTTGCCGTGACTTTCTCCGAAGATGGGACATTTTATAATTTGGTATTCTGGCAGGTTTCCCAAAGGAAGGTTTTCCTGTATCCTTTTGCAGGTATTTTACCTACAGAGACAGTCACGTTGTTTTGCAGTCCATGTTTGAAAACGGGGAAAGGCCACGCGTAGGCCGAAGGGCGCCGTGTCACAGGGCCCCGCGTGGAGACAGGACAGTGGTGTGCACGGGGGGGAGGGGGTCAGTTCAGCGTCAGCGTACGTGCGCCTGGGGCTCCCGCTGCCCTGTGTCCCGCCTGACGTGCAAGGACACGGGGGCACAGCGCGGGGGTCCCGTGTACACGCCCCAGGAGTCGGGCGCGGCTGGAGCGGACGCGCTAACAGCCGCCACCTCTGGTCGCAGCAGACGGGGCAGAGCGCGGGCCCGCCGCCCTCTCCCCCAAGCTGCAGGTTCTCGGAGCAGGTCTGGCTACTCACCACCCGCCTCAGGCTCTGGACTGGGCCCCGATCTCCAGGGCCGTTCCCATTTCTCCCCTGGAGCCTCTGCCCGGTTCTGATGACGGCTCTTCCCACCTCGGGAGGCATGGCCCCGCCACTGCTCGCTCTCAGCCTGACCCTGCGCCCTGCCTGCCCGGGCACCCGCACGCTGCTGCGGTGTCTGGCGTGGCCCTGCGCTTGCTCTCCTTGCTGAGGGAGGCAGTGTCTGCCTGGTGAGCGTTTGTCCTCTTGGCGAGCACACAGGGAGAGCTGGGGCTGCGGGGTTCGAGGAACCCTCCCGGCCTGACTCTCCAAAGGGAGAACTTGTGTCGCCATTGCTTGCGGAGACCCTGAAGCACCTACTCACAGTCCTTTCCTTAAACCCACTTTGGTTCTCACCACTTTGAACACACACGTCTGCTTCTGGAGCCGGCCCTGGTTCCTCCTGTCCTTGGGCGCTGTCTGATCTGTCCCTGGACCGTCCGTGACGAGCGTGGACGGGAGGCAGGGACGTGGTGGCTCATCCTGTGGCTTCTCTGCAGGGGGCCTGGTCGAGCAGTGTCTGGCCGAGCTGCAGAGCCCAGAGGAGATGGCGCGCTGCGGCTTCTCGCTGGCCTTGGGGGCCCTGCCCAGCTTCCTGCTGCGTGGCAGGCTCCGGCAGGTGAGGCTGTGCTGGCAGGGAAGGGGCGTCCGTGCAGGCCGCCGCAGGCAGGCCCTCGAGGGGCGGGTGGGGTGACCTGTTGGTAAACCTCCCTGTGCCCCTGGTTGGGAAGGAGCCCCTGACACCAGCCCCCGGGGCTGTGAGGAGGGGCGGGGATGGCAGTGGCAGCCGACCTCCGGTTTTCAGGGCGGGGGGAGCTGTTCTTTGGCGCAGAAACTGCTCCTGCATCGTGTCCAGGTGCTGGCCCTGCCCACGGCCAGAGTCGGAGGGTGCTGGGTCTGCCGTCCCCTTCGCCCCAGGAACCCCCGCCCCCGCCCCCAGAGGCAGGCCAGCCAGGGGCAGGCCCTGCTTCTCAAGGGCTATGCAGCGGTCTCTGCTCGCCTTGCAAGGACACGACTAGTCAGCTTCCTGCTGTGCGAGGCACCTGGCCTCCGAGGTGGTGGGGGCTTGGGACAGAGGGCGGGGAGCTCTGCTCGGGGCAGACACGCCTGGCCTGAGACCGCGTATGCGTGCGGCAGAGCCCCCTGGAGACGGTCCCTCAGGGTGCGGAGCCGTGCCCAGCAGCCGCCTGTCCTTGCCGTCTGCGGCAGGGAAGGGCCGAAGATGCTCCCCACGCCGCTGCCTCCTGCCTGAGCGCGGAGGGCAGGGACGGCGGGGGCTTCTTTCAGCCTCACCGAGATCCGGGCTAGCACCTCCCGCTGCGCACGGCCCTCACCCTGGGGACGGACGCTGGCACACCCTTCCCCACCGCCCTTTACCTCTTGACCAGCCTCCTCGGGGTCACCCTGGAACGTGTGCCGCGAGCTCTGCGTCGGCCATCGCCGTCCCGGCACCCTGGCTGGGTCCTGGCTTCCTGCAAGAGCGGGTGCCCGCTGCCACTGGTCAGCACGGCCACCAAGCTCCTGTGTCCCCCAGTCGGGGCACCTGCTGACCCACCCCCCAGGCGTCCCCTCGCTTGGGCCGTCCCCCTGCCCAGTGTGCTGTGGGGCCCGCCGCACATTGGATCCCCAGACTCAGGACGGAACTGTCCTTTCGGGCAGCAACAGATCAGGTTACAGGAGCTGCTGCGTTTGTCACAGGTGCCGGCTCTGGGCAGTGGGACGGCTGGAGGCGACCCCTGTGGCAGACACAGCAGCACAGCCCCAGGGCCCACCCCCACCTGCGTGGAAAGGACACTTGTCCCGTGGCCGCTGGTCTGTGGGTGACTGGTGGTTGCTCTGCAGGTTCTAGAGGGGCTGGGAGCCGTCACCCGCATTTCCCCGGAGAACCTGAGCTTTGCAGAGTCTAGGCGGGACGCCGTGAGGGCCATCGCCAGGTGAGTCCCACCTGCCCTCCGCCCCAAACCACTGCTCCCAGAGGCCACCAGCCCCGTGCGCGGGGGCACCCATGGCTGGCGTGAGAAGCCTGGTGTCAGGTGACATCTGCTTAGAAGCAAAGATCACTTTTCATTTTCTAGTTTCCCTTCAGGGGGCTGTCACAGAACATTTCCATCCCAGAGGCTCACTGACAGCCTTGTCCTCCTCAGAGGGAGCATGAGGCCTGTGGTGCGAGCACCTCCCCACACGAGGGAACTGCAGCCCCTCGAAGGCTGGCAGCCCCCAAGGGGGAGGGGAGGACGCCTGCAGGGTCCCTGGTCCCTGCTCCCAGACTCGCACACGCCCGGCATGCCGCCCTGTCCCGGCCGCGCCGAGCCCAGACCCTGCGTCCGCGCTAACGCCCCACTGTCCCCTCTGCCGGGGCAGGCGGGGAGGTGGGGGAGGCCGGGAGGGCCCAGCCACACGGCCTCCCTGTGCACCTGGAAGCTGCAGGCGCCGGGGAGTGTGGTTCTGGAGGAGAGCGCTGCACCGGCGAGGCGCGCTCGGGGTTTCCCAGCCTCCCTCTGAGCTGCTGCTCTGTTCTGAGTGTGTCCCACGGGGCGGGGTGGGGGGGGGGCACGTCAGGCCGGAACAGCACGAACGTAGGGAAGGCCGGACAGGACTTGCAGACAGACGTGAGCCGCTCCACGTGTCTGATTTCAGGGTTTGCCAGACGGTCGGAGTGAGCGCAGAAGGGGCCCCGGACGAGGTGGTGTGCACAGAGAACGCCGCCCAGGTCTACCACACGCTGCTGGCCTGCCTGCGCGACTACACCACCGACAGCCGCGGGGACGTGGGCGCGTGGTAAGGCCGGGGGCCCCTCACGGTTCCGGGCGGGAGGATGGTGGGCCCTAACCGGTGTTCCAGCTGCCGCTGTGGCCGCCCCCAGAGCGAAAGTGCACCCGGGAGGAGGCCACTCGGGGTTCCCCCCGGGGCCCCGGCAGCCCCAGAGCCCAGCCTGCTGCGCGTGTGGTGGCGACAGATGCCTGGCGCCTGGGCAGGGCCTCCCGGGCGTCCTTCGTCCCTGTGGTGCTTGGTCTTCGGTCCTTTTTCAGAGGCCCCCGTTCTCCGTGGAGTCTCATCTCTCTTTCGTTATTTTTTCCACCACCTTCTTCATCTTTGTCAACACCTTCCTCGTGGTTGTTTCTGAAAGACCCTGCCCACGTACTCCAGCATCTGTGACCTGCGGGTCGATCTCTGTACTCGTGTGTTACCACGTTAGCACTCGGTCTTTCTTGCTAAACACTTAATTTTTAACTGAGTTCTGAAATTGTTCAAAATTGCGGAGGCTCTGGGTCATGTAACTTCCTTTGAGCAAGTGGCAGGTTTCCTCACATCAGGCTGACTCGGGCCCCGGGGCCCTCCTGCTGCACTCGGGTCCCCTCGCTGCTGGCCACCCTCTGCTCAGCCAGTCAGGAGCTGGCAGGCCCCCACCCCCAGGGGCGTGTGCAGGTTCGGGGCCCCGAGTGCCTCCCCAGCCTTTCTCTGGGAGTGCTGTGCCCACGAGGCAGGGGCCCCGGGGGAGCACGCTGCCTGCCCCCTGGTGCCCCAGCGGTCCCTGTCCTGAGCAGCAGGACTGGCGGGCGGCCACCCCTGGTGTCTGGATCCCTCTGGCTTCCGTCAGCCGCTCCCCTGCCCAAGTCCGCCCTGCAGCTCTGAGTGCCCGGGGCCTGCACACGGTGCTGCTCTCGCCGGGCCTCCCCCCGGCCAAGGCCCGTGCCTGCGCCCCCTCTCCAGTTCGAACGGCACAGGCTGTCTCCCCGACGTGCCGAATTCACTCCTTGGAGGGGGGCGTGCCCCAGGCCCGCGGGACCTGCTGGCCCTGCTGGCCCTGGAGACACCAGCCCATGTGTCTGTGATCCCTGTGGCCCAGCTGTGTCCCGCCCGGGCGGAGCAAGTTTGAGGGGCCCAAGTTTAAAATGCTCCTTCCTCTCGGGGGTTAGGCGACTCACAGCATGGACTCGGCTCTTCAAATTGTCTCTAAGCTTGTTGTTTCCTTGCGCGGGAGCTTCATAGTGGACAGAGCCCTCCTGGCCTGGATACCCACTGGGCAGCAGAAACAGGCAAAGCCAGAAAGCCCTCAGAGTTTTCCTGCTGGGAGAAAGCTTCCTAGGGTGGGCCTGCTTTGCATTTCACGGTTCTCGGGGAAATCGGCGCTGCTTCTGCAAGAGCAGCCCTGACAGTGCGCTGGTACCCGGCTGGCTGTCTGCGGCTCACACCCTTGACGGTGCAGACCTCTCATGGGCTCAAACGCTCCTAGAGGGCGGGCCGCCGGCCACCTGTGCTGCTGCGCAGACCTCCCACCGAGTGCAGAGTGCAGAGGGCTGGTGCAGCCCCTGAAACCCCCAGGCTGAGGGCGCAGCTGCCCCGGAGCCTGTCCTCACGCCCTCTCCCCCTGCAGGGTCCGAGAGGCTGCCATGACCAGTCTGATGGACCTGACGCTTCTCTTGGGAAGGGACCAGCCGGAGCTTATCGAGGCTCCGATGTGAGTGTCCTCCCTGCCACCACCCGGTGCCTGTCTCCGCCTGCCCCCCCCACAGCTCATGCCCAGGCGTCCCCCTCCATCGGGGCTCAGGCCTGCCGGAGGACAGCTGTTCCTGGGAGAGGCCCAGGGAGGGGCCACTTCTCAGCTTCGAGCCCTTGCGCCCCAGTGCCTGCTCCAGCCAGGGGCCTGGCTGTTCCCCTCCCGTCTGCTCCTGGGCCACGGGACTGCCCTTGGGCAGCTCACTTGCAGGGGCCTTTGTGCCCCTCCCTCACCTCCAGCGTTCCTCCCCGCCTCCTCACTCAGTCCTCCGCCTCCTCGGCCCCTGTCCCCACCTCCTGCTGCCCCCTCCCAGCCCTGTGTGTACTCCCCGCTTGTACCTGAGACCTCGTGCTGGGGCTTCTGGGAGCCGATCAGCTGCCCTGGGGCCCGGTCGCGTGCTCCGCAGGTGCCTCCGGCTGGAGCTGCGCTAATGCTGGGATCTCCGTTGGCAGCTGCCAGCAGGTCATGTGCTGCCTGGCCCAGCAGGCGAGCGAGAAGATCGACCACTTCCGTGCCCACGCTGCGCGCGTATTCATGACACTGCTGCACGCCACCGGCCCAGCCGGCCCCACTGTCCCCCATGTGCCGCACCGCGAGGAGCTGGAAAAGCTGTTTCCCAGGTACTGGGGCTCTGGCCGCCGGGCTGCCTGCCTGGTGGGAAGGGGCGCCGGGAACCTAAGCTTGTGCCTGTGTTGCAGGTCCGACGTGGCCTCGGTCAACTGGGCGGCACCGTCCCAGGCCTTCCCGCGCATCGCCCGGCTACTCGGGCTGCCCACCTACCGCTACCACGTGCTGCTGGGCCTGGCCGTGTCCGTGGGCGGTCTCACGGAGTCCACGGTGAGGGCGCGTCCGTCCTTGGACGGGGTGGCCTGGTCTGGGCGCGGGCCAGGGGTTGGGACCTGCGCTCCGGGGGCTGCGCTGTCCTTCTTCCCTCTGGGTCTCCCCCCGGGGAAGCTGGTCACCGGGGCAGCTGCTTCCTCCGGGCGGATCCCCAGGGCGGCTCGGAGCGCCGGCGCTGGGAGGAGGGCTAGTCGGGCCGGACCCCGGCGGTGACCGGTTGCTGCATGCAGTTCGGCTGCCCTGGGAGCTCTACTACGGTCTTCCTCCGCCGCCGCCGCAGCGCGCACATCACGGACACCACGCACGGCACGCACGCCGCGCACATCACGGACACCACGCACGGCACGCACGCCGCGCACATCACGGACACCACGCACGGCACGCACGCTAGTCTGGGCCTGGTTTCCGGGTTCCGCACCTCCTGGTGCGGCGTTTCCGTTCTCTGGGGTTGCGCCCCGCGGGCTCGGAGCTCCGTAACCCTGACCGCTCCCGGTCTGAGCGACAGCGGCCCTGGCCGCCCCGCCCTTGTTCCCGTGCGCATGCGCCTCCCTGCGCTTGCTTTGACAACGCGGCACAGGCTGCCGCCGCCGCCACCGTAGTTTTGGGACAGGCGGTGGGTCCACGAAGGACCGCGGGGGATTCATTGTTCTCTGAATCGTGGGTTCAGGGTTCGGGCACTTAGGCGACAGTCTCGCCCCGGCCCCACCCCCGCACGCATGTCCATCCGCCCGCCCATCAGTCCGCTCTGCCCGCCCGTGCAGTCCGCTCTGCTGAGCGCTCTTGTTCCCCGGGTCCTGCTCTTCCTTCCGGGCAGCTTCCTGGAGTTTGCTGCTCGTCTCTCCGAGAGACTTCTGTTTGGGGGGCGGGGGGTGAACACATCTAGTCCTTGACTGCGTTCTCAAATCTTACCCCTCAAGCCTCTCCGGCGCAGGTTCACCTGGGGAATAGCGAATCTTTTTTTTAAGTCCACACGTGGCATCCCCGCTCCTGCGCTCTGTGCAGTCGGGGGCGGGTCTCGTCCGCTTCCTGCTTCTCTTCGGCTGGGACTCGCCCTCTCGGTTCGGGAATCTGAGGGGAGGGCCAGGGGGAGCCTGTGGCCACCAGCTGCGGTCAGTCCCCAGGCGCAGGGCACGCTGCAGGGCGGCACCCTCTGACCCAGGTCGTTTTTTCTCCCCTTGGCAGCTGGTGGCTGCTGGCGCCCAGCCTGGGGAGCCCTGGCTGCCTGCTGCTGCCCCATGTCGCTGCCCCCCAGGGGGCTGCTCTGCAGGCGGTTGCCCCTGCCCCTCCCTTGGCGGCCAGGCCCGGCTCCTGAGCGGGTGTAGTGCTGGTTGGGGCAGCCTCTGAGCGCAGCAGTGCCCCGGGGGCTGCATTTGGGTTTGCAGCCTGAAGGTTTCAGAGCGACTGGCCACTCGTGACGCCAGGCTTTGGTACCTGGACCTGCTTTCCGTGGACACCCACGACCATCTGCCACCGACGGTGTAGGGGTCGCTCTGGGTGCGGAGTGACAGTGTATGCGGAGTGGGCTGTGCTGCCGCCCTAAGGGGAGCGTTTCTCCCTCGGGCGCCTGCACTGTGTCTCTGCAGTCCTGCCGCCCTGGCCGGGCCTAGGCTGGTCCTTCTCCCCTGCGGTTTGGTCTCCGCTGCTGCTGAACACGCTGAGTTTGTCCGCCACTGCTGCAGGCGGGGGATGCGGGGACAGCGGTCTCGTCTCGGTACCAGCAGACGCCCTGTGTTGCAGGTCAGGCACTCCACCCAGAGTCTGTTCGCGCACACGAAGGGGATCCAGAATGACCGGCAGGCCGTGGAGAGCTTCGGCGAGTCCCTTTTGCAGGTCTTCGAGGACAACCTTCTGAACTACAGGTGAGCAGGTGCCATTTCCCAGACGCCCGGGTTTTGAGGGCAGGGTGGGGCCAGCAGAGGCGAGGGTCATGGACACAGCCAGTCACGGCCCCTCCAGGCCCCCCGCCACCGCTCTGGGACCCCTTGCAGACTGCACTGAGGGCTGGTGGGGTGAGGATTTTTGGATGTGTCGGAAGTAAAGATGGCAGCGCAACGGGCCGGTGGTGCCCCCAGGTAGGGAGGACCCTGGGCCCACACACTCCCCTAGCTGGGACTGCAGCGTCACAGCGACACCTGGAGCTTTTTTCTTAACGCTGTGCTGACCGCTTTCCCACGAAGGTGGGGTGTATTCTGGGGGCCCTGAGCTCAGCCCTGCAAGAGGGCTGTGGTGGACGCAGTTCTCGATGGTCCCAGGGCAGCCGGGCCCGTTACAGCGGTGTGGCCGCAGGTCCCCTCCTGGGGCCCCTGGCAGCCCGTCCGGTGCGAGGGCAGCGCAGACACCGCTCTCGGCGAGCAGGAGCCCAGCCCATGGTCTTTCCTCTTTTCCTAACAGCCCCGGGTGGGTATGAAGGAGTTCTGACGAAATGCGCGTAAAACATGCATTACAGCTGAGACACGGCACACCCACACCTGAGACCTCCCTCCACCCTTGACTCTCCCACCCCGCCCCAGGGCGGCCGCCGGTGCTGCCCCTCACGCCTGCGTAGTGGGCATTCCCCTGAGTTTCAGGTGGGCTCTGCCCTCTGCGCTCGCCTCGTGTCCGGCTCCTCGGGCCCAGCGGCTCTCTCGGCCACCCTGTGCTGGGTGCACCCATGTGCACTCGGTCGCACCTGGTTCCTCCGTCTGCCTGGGACGGGCGCTCCGGTGGCGCTGCCAGCTGAGGCTGTGACGGGTGAGGCTGCGGTGAGCGCCCGCGCAGAGGCCCTCCGTGGACGGCTCTGCCCGCCTCTCCTGGGCACGGGCCCAGGGTGCCCTGGCTGGGTCGCGTGGTTGGCAAACGCAAACTTTTTAAAAAACTGCCAACTGTTGTCGAAGGTGACTGTGCCATTTGCATCCCTGCGGACACCACCTGCTTGTTCCCGGTGACCCCCCCCCCCGCCCCGTCACCCCCTCTTGCTGGCACCAAGCTGAGGGGTGGTGTGTGACGAGTCACGGCGTCCATGCGCGCCTCCCTCCCGGCCGAGGGCGTGGCACGTCCAGTCGGCTCTGTGCTCTGGTGGCAACCGGTTCGGGTGGCGACCATGTTTCTCCCTCCTCGCAGCCGAGGGCGGGCGTTTCTCCCGTCGGCAGCCTCTCCCACGGCAGGCCCCTCGCGCTTGTGAACTCGGCCACCCCCTTGCCTTTCACGTCACACCCGGGGAGCCTGCGCCTAACTCCAGGGCACCAGGGTCTCCCTCAGGTGTTTCGTGGGAGTTCTGTGGTGTTTGGCTCTGTGCTCTGACCTGGGGTTCCCTCGGGGCGAGCCCCGTGTGGTGCGGTGCAGCCGCGCCGTGTCCACGTGCCCGTCCTGCGTGTGGGGGTGGGTGCACCCAAGCCACACGTGGGCTGTGGACACGGGAGCCGGGACTCTGCGGTTCGTGGTCTGCTTTGTGTTTTTAGCCGTGACCTGTGAGGTTGAGCCACGTGAGCCCCCTCTGCTTTCTCTCCACGGGGCGGGGATTTCCCGACCTTCCCCGTGTCCACCTGGAGCTCCGAATGGGCCTGCGTTTCGACAGGACTGTCTCCCCGGGTTGGGGGGTGGGTGGGCGTGGTTTGTGCCTAGTTTCCTGCCCCCCACTTGCCCTCCCTCCCTCCCGTGGTTCGGTGCCTGTGGTCTCACGGACACCCTCTCCCCGCAGGGTGTCGGTGCCGCTGCTCAGGATGCTGGACCAGATGCTGGCCCACGGGTGCTTTGACGTCCTCACCACGGAGGAGGAGTGAGTGCCTGTTTGCCCTCCCTGCCGGCACGGCTCTGCGGCCTGGGCCTCCCAGCCACCCCCCCAGGAACCGTGGCGGCCCGGAGGCCGGAATTCTGGGGACAGTGTCCCAGCGTCCCCGCGGTCGGTCTCCACAGGCCCTGTCAGTGCCCTGCCCCCCGCCCCACCGTGAGGCTGGCACTGGGGGGCTGGGGGGCCCGAGCTGACGGCAGTGGACAGAGCGGGGTGGCCATGGGCTGGGCGCAGGACCTGGGTCAGTCGGAGGCGCCTCCGTCCTCAGCTGCGCCCAGGGCTCCGCAGCTGCCCGGCAGCAAGGACCCGTCACAGCCACTCCGTCCCTCCTCATCCGCGGCTCTGTCCTGGCTGGGCCTCCGCGGAGGGCGCATTGTGTCCCTGGGGCCGTGGTGTCTGGCTGCTGCGCTGATGAGGCGCCTGGGCTCAGGGCTGCGGGGCGTGGCCCCGGCCTGGGTCTGGTGCTTTGGAGGTGTCAGGTGGGCCCCGGCAGCGTCGGTCCCCTGCCCCTTCTGAGGCCTGCTGGCCGCCTGGTGTCCTGGCCGGCGGTGGCCATCGCTGAGTGGCCAGGGCTTCCTGCCATCCATCGGGGGGTCTGGCATGCACGTTGTCACTGGGCTCAGGTGAGTCCTCGCAGGTCCCGGGAAGCCCCGTCCCCGCTGGAGGCTGCACGGGAGCTGACTGCAGACGCGGGGAGGCGTGGCTTCTGGACGGGTCTCCTCCGCGTCCCCCTGAGCAGGCAGGAAGCCGGGCCGTTGCAGCAGGCCCCCTCCTGCACCTCCTGCACCTCCTGCACCGCAGTGGTCAGGGTCCTTTGCAGCCACCGTCTTCCTGTACATGTTTGGTCTTCAGTTGTCTCGGGTCAGTGGGGTAGGGGCGATCTGGTGCTTGTTCTCCACGTCCTGGGGGCCCTCGGGTGCCTGCCTGGGTCTGAGGCCAGCCCCCCCGGCGTTCACGGGTCTCCCTGTTGGCTGTGGGGTGCCGTGCTTTCTGATTGTTCCGCCTAATATTTTAATGTGTTTTTGGTTAGAAATTTTCAAAATACAACGGCAAGAGAAAACGCCTTCTGTTGTGAATATAGCTCTTTTAGTTTTTCTATCATTTTGCCAATTTTTGTTTTGTGTGTTTTGGCTTTACATTTCGGTGTATGCACATTTAAGGGCGCCTTAGTAGTGAGCTGAGCCTTTCCGTTTCCAGAGACGCGGCTCGGCCTCGCAGCAGCGTGGCGGCACCAGCTCCGGACGCGGAGCTGTCGCGGGGGCTCTTCCCCGCTGTCTCTCGTGACGAGGGTCCGCGTGTCCGTGGTCCGCGTGTCTCGTGGGCAGCGGGCAGTTCTGCGGGAGCCCCGCCGGACGGCCCCCGTCTGCCCGCTGGGCCGTTGCCTCTCGCCGCTGGGTCCTGCATCTGCGTCTCTGGATGCTTCCGCGCTCCTCCCCCCCCCCGTTTCCCACGTGATCAGCAGTGACGTGACTGCGTCTCCCCACATTTCTCTCGCGTGTGTTTGGGATGATGCACTTTCCTGTTTTCTTCGCGGCCACCCTGTCGAAGTCTTTCAGTGCTTTCTCCTCTTCCTGGACAGTCCCAGGGACTCCGCGCGCTAGGCCCATTTACAGTTTCGGTTGAGTTTGCTTTGTGCGTCGGTTGTGCCGTCCACAGGCGCGCCCTCCCGCTGAGGCCCGAGGGGATGGGGTGGGGCCGTCTGCACAGCTGTGCCCGTGCAGGGGCCAGGTCAGGCCACCTGGCACGGCGTCCCCCAGGCACGTGGCCCTCGGGACGTCCCTTGCTGGCCGCACAGCACCAACACCGGCCCTGTGCTTCCCCTGCAGCCATCCCTTCTGCGTGAAGCTGCTCGCGCTCTGTAAGGCCGAAATCCACAAGTCCAAGGACGTGCAGAAGCTGCGGTCCAGCATCGCGGTGTGAGTCCCGAGTCACCACCTGCGCAGGCGGTCCGGGGGGCGGGCAGGGGGGCGGGGGCGAGGGGGCGGGAGGCGGAGTCTGTGGCCCTGAGCCCCAGGGAAGTCCGTCCCCAGCTCTGCCTGCACGTGGCCTTGGCCCGAGGGGCGGTGCGGCGCGTCCCTGCCCCCTGAGACCTGGACGGGAGGGTGAGGGGTCTGGAGGCCGCACGGGGGGTCGCTGCGGCTCTGGGCGCCCTCCCGTGCGCACCGGGCTCACCGCGTGCGGCGCGCAGGTTCTGCGGGATGGTGCAGTTCCCGGGCGGCGTGAGGAGGAAGGTGCTGCTGCAGCTGCTGCTCCTGCTGTGCCACCCGTTCCCCGTGGTGAGTGCGCGGCCGCTGCGCCGGGTCTCCCCGCGGCGGCTCGGCGGCGGGCGGGCGGGGGTTCTGGGCGCTGGTGCTCGTGTCCCTGGTGCTGGGGCGGCAGCCGGGGTCCATCCGGGTCTGGGAGGGGGCCCGACCTTCCTCTGCCTCTTCAGACGTCGAGGGGTGTGGCGGGGGTCCTGCTGCATGGACGCTCGGGTCTCGGGAGTGGCGCCTGCAGGGTGGCTCTCCCGTGCCCTCCTGGGGGTGGGGGGGCGATGCGGAGTGAGCCCCCTCCCCCCACCCCTGTGTTTCGTCCTGTGCTGTCCGCCCCCGAGGGCCCTGGGCGGGGTCTCAGCAGAGGGTCCTGGGGCCCCCACACTGGGCGACACCTTCACCCAGAACCGCCTGCCACAGGGTCAGGCTTCCTAGAAACTCTCCTGTGGCTCAGAAACGCCGCTCCTAGAGGTGACAGTAGCCCCCACTGCGCAGCCGCACCCCTCAGGAATGCAGCTTCTCAGGCCACCCGGCCAGCTGGTGGGGTCACGGGCGAGGTCAGGGGCCCCTCCCCCGTGAGGCGTTCCGGTAGGAGCCGTGTGGCCCGGCCTGTGGGCAGGCCCCTGGCTGCGTCCTGGTAGGCTGATGGCGGGACTGCCAAGGAACCAGGTGGCCTCTCCTGTCACGGGGACACGTGGGCGTGGCCAGATCTCCCGAGTTAGGGTCAGAGGTCAGCACGTCTTTCAGGTTTTAGTCGGACTCCGGGGCCCTGTCACCTCTGCTTTCTGTGTCTTGGCCCCTCCCCCAACGTGCCGTGTCCTGGGCAGATTCGCAAGACCACCGCCAGCCAGCTGTACGAGATGCTGCTCACCTACGGTGACACCGTCGGCGCGGACGTCCTGGACGAGGTCATGGCCGTGCTCAGCAGCACCGCCTGGTGAGTGTGGGGCCCCCGTTCTCCAGGGCGCAGGCCGTGCACAGCACAGTGAACGGGATGCCCTCCCTTCCTGTCCTGCGGTCTCTACCCCCCCCACCCCCCCCCACCCCCCGAAGGGAACAGGACAGACGAGGCTCCCGGCCCCTGGTGGCCGTGGCTCTGGTCTCCCGAGGGGACAGGGCGGCTGTGAGGGACCCTGCCTGCCTGCTTGTCCCCCGGCCTCTCCCTCGCACCCCAGGGGAGTAGACCGGTGCCTCCTGGGGCCCAAGGGGAAGGTTTTCAGGATGGAAGGACTTTCTTTCACGTGCAGTTTTTTGTAGGTAAAGAGACGGGCTAAGCTTTTTTTCCTCTGGGCTTTTTCACGAACTAGTCACGAAGTGGGCTCTGGGCGCCGATGGGGGCCGGGGCCCCTGCCCGAGCTGCGGCACCAGAAGCGTGATGGAGTGTGCGGTGTGGGGACACGCGTGTGTGCCCGTGCCACGTGGCTGCCCCAGGGGCTGCCATGCCCACCGGCCTCCGAGGAGGGCCCGCAGGCCTTTGCCCAGTCTTGGTGCGAACGGCCGCGTTGAATCAGAAAGGACGGAGGAAACAGGGTCTCCCCCTCCCTTCCCCCCCAGACACCCAGTTGCCTCCCGCACCCCGCAGGACCGAGAGCTGCCCGCGGGTCTCGGGGTTCACTGCAGGCGCACTCTCCTGTGGTCTCCGCTGCCTCCGGGAGGGACTCGGGTCGCGTTGGGGGTGGGAGGGCGCTGCGGGATGGGGAGGCCTGGGTGCGTCCGGAAGCCGGAAAGGTGCGGCCCGGAAGCTTGGGTTGGGGTGGGCAGCACCGGCGACGCCACGGGAGCAGCAGGTGTGCGGGTGGACGCCCGCACTGGCCTGTGTGCTCCCACACGTGCTCCCACGGACACGCACGCAGCCCCGCCCTCGCCCCCCTTCCGGAGGTGGGACAGAGCTTGCGACAGGGCCCTGCTCGGGCCCTGGTGGCCGAGGCCTCGGTGCTGGCCCCGCGCCAGCCATGCCGGGCTCTCGAGGGTCGGCGCGCGCTGCCCACGGACGCCTGGGGCACGTCCACGGCGTCTCCCTCCGAACAGTGGTGCTCCCGTGAGGCCGGAGGTTTCTGGGGAGACGTCTCGTGAGCACCTCTGTGGCCCCCAGTGACGGTTCCAGACCAGGTGCGTGGTCGCCGGAGACGGGGGCTCTGCTCCGTGAGCAGCTGGGACCGACCCCATCCTCCGGGTCCGTCCTCAGCGCCTCTGGAGAGCGCGGCAGTCTCCCGCCCAGGGGACACCCCCTTCTGTGCTGTCAGCTCGATGAGAACCCTTGTGCACCCCGAAAAGGGCAGTGGCAAGCCAAGTGGCCTGGGCTCACCGGCGCCAGAGGGTCCCTGGCTCCTCCGGCTGCTCCCGCGCTCCCCCCGGGTGGGGCTCTTTCCCCGCACCCCCGTCCCTTTCCGCCTGAAGAGGAGCTCCCCCCGCATTTCTCTGCGGTTGCAAGATTTAACTTTTATTTTCAGTGAAAGTGATGAACAGCTTTTAAAATCAAACAGAACTTTTAAAAAGCCCCGTGATGAGTTTCGGGCCCCGCCTGCCCTCCCCCGCCCCCCCAACGGGCACCCCCTTCCCTTCTGTCCCCGTCGCAGCCCGGGCTGCGTCCTCCAGCGGCTTTCCCAGAAAAGGGTTCGGGAGCGGAGCCTGGGGCAGGGGCCAGGGTGCAGGTTCTGGGGTGGGTGTCCTTCCCCGACCTCCTCATCTGGGGTACCTCGGGGTGTCTGCACCCCACCGGGAGTTTACTAAGAGTGGAAGATTCATGTCAGGTTTGACGCCAGCCAGCGGCCCTCCTCGTGGCTGAAGCTGCCCTGCCCTCTCCCCCCAGGGACGAGGAGCTGCACCTGGTGAGAGCCCAGCGGAACCACCTGTGCGACCTCCTCGGCGTACCCAGACCTCAGCTGGTCCCCAAGGTAACTGACCGCACGCCCCCCTCAGGCCGCGCCAGGGACACCTGGGGCTCTCCCCGAGCCAGGCCTGCGGACGGCTCCCTCGAGCCGAGGTGCTCAGCTACCGTCTAGAGCGTCCTGGGCCCGCACGACCTGCCCCCCCCCCCCCGCCCCCGTCAGCCTGTTCCCCAAGCAGTGTCCACAGGCTGTGCCACACGGCAGGTGCGGAGCGCGGGGAGGAAGGGGTGTTGCGCGTCCAGGGTGTCCCTGGCCCCATCGGCCACACCCACGGCCTGGGGGCGGGGCCCAGGTGGTTTCCTGCAGGAAGCAGGACCGGAGACGCAGGGAGACGTGCTGACCAGCCTGGCCCCGTCCCATGTCCTCTGCAGCCCGCTGTCCACTGAGGCCCGCTGTCCACTGAGGCCGGTCCCGGGAGCTGAGCCCGTGCGCCCGTCCGACGGAGGAGCAGGCAGGTGGGACGAGCACAGGAAACCTGGACACAGCGCCTTGGCCGTCGGCCGGTCCATCTGCTGAGGGACTCGTAGTCTGTCACCATGGAGGCGGCTTTTCCTAACACGCCTCCTGCACGCGAGGGGCCTGGGTTGTTGGTGCTTTTGTCTTAAACGCAAACCCACGTCTTATAAAGCCCTGCGCTGGCAGTCTACACCTGTCTGTGTGTCTGTCTGGGTGAACGGTAGGGCCGGCTGCCTGGGGTCGGAGGGAGGGGGCAGCCTGACGGGGCACGTGACGAGGCCACGGGGCTCGGCTCCCTCCTGTCCCGCTGCCCAGGGGACGGGGCAGTGCTGGGCGGGACAGGCCGGGCGGGTGCCGAGGTCACGCGCCCCTCAGGCCTTGCCCGGCCCAGCTGGACATCAGGGGCTGCGAGGGCACCGCGGGGCTTTGGAGGGGCCTTTCCTGCCCCATCTGGTGGGGTCAGGGCATCTGTCTTCCTGCCTCCACCCCCCCACCCCACCCTGTTCCAGCGTCCGGCACCCGCGGGTGTCACTTACCCTCATGCAGCTTTGACAACCAGAGAAGGCCACGGCCGAGTATGTTGAGTCCTGCCCGAGGCCACCTTCAGCCACTCGAGGGCCTGTGACGGCAGCGCCAGACCCGGCTGGAAGGCGGGTGTCGGGGGGCAGCCTTACAGGCATCTGCTGCCAGGGGTGACCCGGATGCAGCGTCCCAGGATGTGGGTTCGGGTGACATGGGAAGTGCCACAGCTTGCGTGTGTGACTCTGGAAAAGCTGCCCTTTTCTAACTTGCGCGGCACCAGCTCACACTGAGTGTCCGCGAGCCAGTGCGGCTGGTGTGTGTAAAGGGTTTGCCGCTTGAGTCAGGCGAGTGTGGGGTGCAGGAGCCCCCGCCCACTGCCGAGGGGAAGGGGTCGGCGCGCCGTCCTCGGGCCCACAGCCCAGGGCTGTGGCTGTGACTGGGCCTGGGCAGGAGCGTCCTGCCCTTGTGGGGTGCGGCCACAGCAGGTCTGTGGGCGGAGGCGGCGGTGGGCCCTGCTGTGTGGCCTCACCACGGGCCTCGCCGCTGCCCGCAGGTGGGTGTGCCGCCGGGGCCAAGCCCGGGCCAGGCTGGAAGCGTCTCCTGTCCGCGTGCTCCACTGGTGGCAGATCGCCTCGAGCCCCTGGCAGAGGAAGCCCTTACCCCGGGTGTGTGGGGCTGGGCCTGGGCAGACCAGCGCCCACTCAAGTCTCCAGCGTGCGTCCCTCACGCAGGTGTCAAACAGGGAGCTTTCCACTTCAGACGGGACTTGCTGGGGACCCCTCGACTGGCAGAGGCCATGCTGGTGCGAGGTGGGCACACATGGCCCCACGCTGCTGGGCACCAGGGACAGGACACAGGGCACGGTGGGGGTGGGGCGGCCGTGCCTGCTGAGCAGCGTCTGGACCTGGGCTGCAGGACACCAAGCAGGCAGCCCTCGAGAAGGAACAGGATCCCCCGTGTAACAGGAGCCCCCAGAAGAGACCGTGGGGACGGGAGGGCCTGCCGGCGCTGGTCCCACTGTGTGATCCACGGAACACAGAGTTGATCTGCTGGCCAGTGGACAGTGTCCAGCTGCCGCTGCCCACCCTCGGGCCCCACTGGCCACCAGTCGCTCACACCGGGGGCCCAGTGGCTGCGAACACCTTGTGCAGCCGTGGTTCCGGAGCCCACCTGAGTCTGCGTGACAGGTCGGCGGGAATCCCTGGGCCCCCACGACTCGGGCTGTGGTGAGAGCAGAGCAGGTGATGAGCTGTCAGCCGGCGCGGCGAACACGGGACCTGGTCGGTGACGGCCCTTTCCCGCTCTGTTCCCATGGATGGTCTGTCCCGGTCCACGAGCCTCCTGAGGTCACCGCAGTGGCTGTGCCCCTAGGTGGTCCCTGGGACCACCTCGCATCCACCCAGACTGGGACCTGGCGTGCAGACAGCGCAGGCGGCCACCGGGAGCCTGACCGACCAGCCCTGGTACCGTCACCACACGGTATGGGACCCATGGTCCCCTGGGTGACGGGGTGGCAGAGGACACGTTCCATGTCCTGGTCCGAGGGGTGTGTGCAGAGTGCGCACACCTGTCAGGTGCGTGGTGAGGGTGGGGTCACACGCCTGCTGGGTGAGGGGCCAGCCCCTCGCACACACGGTCTGCCGTGCACCAGCCGCCACGCCCCCCATGGGTCCCACCCACGTGGGGGTGTCCCCCGGCCTGCCCTCCAGCCCTCGTTACCTGCTCGACGCCACGGCTGCTGCGGGTCTGTCAGCTGAAGTGGAGGAAGTCCCGGCCCTCCTGCAGGTGCAGCGACCTCAGGTTGTCCTCGAACGCGCCCCCTGTCAGGTCCTGCGGGGGGAGCAGCAGGCCTGGTTCGTCCGGACCTGCCCTGGGCCGGACTGGAGGCCCCCAGAGCCTCCCTCCAGGTTTGGGGTTCCCTGTGGGCAGCCGTCAGGCGGTCTACTCGGGGCTGCTGCTGCTCTGCTCCGAGGGGAGCGGCCCGGACAGGACACTGGGGCAGCTGGCCACAACGTCCCACTGGGCACTGGTGGGCGTCTGAGAGACATCTCCACCCAGTCTGTCCAGCGCCTCTCCAAGGAGGGCAGCGGACCCCCACCCGCCTCTGCAGGGAGGGGCCACACGGGGGCAGCAGCCCCGGGGACAGAAGTGGCTGCTCAGCGACCAGCTGCGGATGGGTCCTGGCCGCCTCCTGCTCTGCCCCCACCCCTGCGGCGGAGAGGGGTCGTCGCCCAGCAGGCAGACTCTGCCCAGTCACACCTGGTCCTACACGGCCCCCGAGATGACCCCACAGCCCACCGGCCGGTGGCGTCATGGGGGACCCTCGGCGGTGGCACGTTACTCAGAAGGTGACTCCAACAGCCCAGCCGCAGGGGCGAGCGAGAAGGGGTCCCGGCCTCTCGCTGTGGGAGCCCGGCGTGAAGCCTGGGGCCGAGAAGCAGGCACAGCCGCGTGGGCCCCGGGGCCCCCGTGACCGACCGCAGGGAGACTCGGTGTGGTTTTATGGACGTGCAGCCCGTTGCGGGTGGGCCCACGGCTGCCGCCCCCTCCCGGCCCCCAGGGCCGCCGCCTGTCCCCCCCTCCCCGCCCCCCCGTGGCCCAGGGCTGTCCCAGCACTCACCAGCTTCACGCAGATGACGAAAGGCGGCCGGGCTGCGCGGAAGTGCAGGATGGGCACCCGGGGCTTGGGGCTTTCCTGGGGGGTGAGGAGGGCCGAGGGTGGGGCTCCGTGCTCCCCCCGCAGTGACCTGCACCACACAACTGGACTCGCAGGGCTGGACCCTGCGTCACTGGCCCCCGCCCGGCCACCCTACAGCCACTGCAGAACCAACCCCAGGTGGGCGACAGGGAGACCTGGTGGGAAGACGGGTGCATGCAGGTGGCTCTGGGGTCCCAGAGACCCCAGGAGTCTGGGGGCTGTGTCTGCCAGGCCTGGCGGCTGGGCCTTTCCCGGGGTGTCCACTCAGAAACCCAGGAGAGTCCAGCCTGGTGCGTGGCTGTGGCCGAGCCCTCACCACTGGGGGCCCCCGGGGCCCCACATACGAGCGAGTCCTCGTAGCAGTAAAAGCCCTTCTTGATCTTGTTCTCGTCCACGTCGCAGAAGGCGACCACCTGGGGGAGGACAGGACGCTGGCCTCAGGCTGGAGCTGCTGCACGTGGGGTGTGGGGCGGGGCCCTCGGAGGGACGGGGCCCACCTTGCGCTGCGCCCCTGCCGTGAGGCTGCGGTAGAGTCGGCGGCCCTGCCTGCCTGCGTTCCAGATGGTGAAGGTCGCCCAGCGGGGCAGAGCCCGTTCCTCCAGGAAGTGGACGCGGTGGGTCCAGATGGTGGTCCTGTGGAGGGAAGGCTCTGAACCCGGGCCCAGCCCTCCTGCCCCCGCCCCTCTGCCCGGCCCAGCAGGGCCCCCGGGCCCACGTTGCCTGGTCTTCGTCAGCTCGGGGCGGCACGCACACTCCCCACGCTGCCCCTCGCCCGCGCACTCAGCTGCACCGGCTGTTGGCTGAGTGAGCGAACCCAGAATGACCTGCCGGCATCCCACAGCCGTGCCCACCCTCGGGGACCTGAGGACCCGCTGTTCTCGTGGCCGCACACTCAGGCAGCACAGCAGACACCAGGCACGGGCCCTGGGGCGCCCACAGGAGACGTGGCCGCCCCACCACTGGACACCTGCAGCCACAGTGACCTCAAGCAGAAGGACCCGGACGTGTCCTTCAAGCCACCACACGGCTGACCCAGGGCAGAGACCCAGGTGGCCGGGTTGTCTTCTCCAGGCAGGGCCCCTGCATCGGCCCTTGGCTGCACGGGGACTGTGGGCCCCGGCCTGGCCACGGGGCCCGCCACTGCCTGAGCCCCGGGCGTGGGGCGGACCCGCACACGCAGCGGTCCCGGGTCCGCGAGTTCCAGCAACGTGCGGAGTCGGGCGAGGACCCGCCCTCCTGCCAGGCAGGGGACGGCCGCTGGGCGCTTCCTGCGGCCGTGCCTGCCCACCTCCCACTCCACACTGGCAGGCGTCACAGCTGTGTTGGGCGGCCGAGGTTTGGGGGGGCACTGGCGCTCGAAGGTGCCAAGTCCCTAGTCCTGTGTGCTCGGCACCACGTCTGAGAAAGAGGCGCACAGGGTGCACACGCTCCGGGCCGGTGACACGCCGCGCAGGCCTGGCCACGGTGCGCGCGGCTTTGCCAACATGCGGGGAAGCGGGAGGAGTTTCTGAGAACGGGAGAGAGATGCACGGCACACACGTGAGTCCCCGCACACCCGCGGAGCCCTGAGCGAGGAGGTGGCAGGCAGCTTCAGACTCCCTTCCCACATTCCCCTTCCCCAGGCGGGGAGAGGGTGGGACGGCCCGGGGCCGGGAGGTGCGGAGCAGGGTCCGTGGGGCCCCGTGTCGGGCAGCAGCGGAGGTGCCCTGGGGCCCCTGCCGGCGAGGGAGGGGCGGCCTGGCACGCGGCCCCCCCCCCCCCACGGGGTGAACAGGGAGAAGGGGCTGCGGACACAAGGCCTCTGCTCGGCGAAGGGTCTGGCCTTTTCTGAGACGTGGACTGGGTCTCCTTGCGGCCGGTTTCCCTCCACTCCAGGCCCACGTGGAGTGCAGCGGCCACCCAGGCGGCCCCACGGCTTCTGTGGGCACTCACAGGACAGACGGCCCGGGCCAGACCTCCGAGCTGCCAGCCAGACGCGTCTCAGAGCCGCAGGGCAGGGCGACGTGGGGTGCACGCACGGACCGGCAGGTGGGGCAGGAGTGGGGAGGGCGCCCCGAGAGCGGTCCTGGGGGGGGCACGGCCGACCCGAGTCACACGGCCTGCGGCGCGGGTCCCAGCGGTGGGTCCCGGTGCAGAAAGAGAGCAAGGCTCAGAGGGATGCGGGTATTAGCGACCGCTCTGTGCCTCCCAAGTCTTAGGGGTCTCCCGTCTGAACGCGCCACACACGTGAGCTGACGAGGCTGCGGCACAGAGCACGTCCGTGGCAGGCACTTCCTCCCAGGAGCCCGTCCTGTGTTCTCACTGCTGACTGTCGGGGGGACAGCTGTCCGAGTCCTTCACGCCCCTCTCTGCCTGCCGGAGGCCAGGGTCCTCGCCCCGGGGCTGGGCCCTGCAGGTTTCCCCAGCCCCACAGATGGGCGTTTCCAGAACCCGGGGGGAGGGGCGGCAGTGTCTGTCTACACGCGGCCACAGTGGGCCCGGGGGGCTTGGACAGAGGTGGTACGAGGGAGCGAGACGCCGGCAGGAGGAGAACAGCCCGCGGCGACCCCAGAGGGCAAACCCAGCTGCAGGTAAGCAGAGGTGCAGTGTCAGGGCCGGCAGCGGGATGCCCCGGTTCACGAGAAAGTGCCAGAGTCGAGCCCGAAGGCTCAGAGGCAGCGGCCAGTGCCGGGCCCAGGGCAGCAGGGCAGCAGGGCCTGGGGCAGCTTGGCGGGAAGTGGAGTCCGGGGAGAGCAGGAGGCTGACGGGGGGCCCGGTTGCTCCGATGGACTCTCCCTCGTGCCTCCTGGTGTCGGACGTGTTCCAGGGAAGCCGCTGGAGGGTGCCCGTGCCGACCCCCCTCCTCCCCAGAAGGAAGAGCCGGCGCGCTCAGGGGAGAGGGTGCGGGGAGCCGGGTCCTGGGAGCCCCGGGCTCCAATTAGGCTCCTCGCTCTGGGAGGTCTCCCCACTGCGCTCAGAGCCCTTAATCCCACACCGAAACTGCATGAGGTCACGTCTGCTGTGGGTGGCAGAGCCTCGCGCTGCAAAGTCAGGGAAAGGCCGATGCCAGAGACACGCGTCGCGTGCAGGCGGGACGGGGCGCGGGGGCCTGCGGCCCTCTGGCCTCTGGCCCGGTCCTCCCCCAACGGGTGCCGCCGGCCCCACCACGGGCCGGCGGGCGGGCGGGCGGTCAGCACCAGGCGCTTTCTCTCCACAGCGTCTTTGGGGGCACACAGCAGGGGGTCCAGGGGCCCCGTCTCATGGCTCTAGGTGCTTCCCTCCCCCGCCGTGGCGACAGGGACGCCGTGGCCCTCAGTGTGTGGACAGCACCCCCTCCCAGGGCAGGGGGTCCAGTGGAGGAGCCACAGCCTTCGGCCAGCCTCTCCGCCTCCAGGGGGAGGCTCGGAGTCAGCCGGCCTCCAGCTCCAGCTGGGCTGAGAACAGCCCCGACGACAGACCCGTCTGAGGAGCCCACCCCTTCCTGTCCCCGGAGCGGACACAGCGTGGCGGTGAGGGCAAGGGACACACGTGTGACTGCGAGGACAACTAACACGCCCCGCGCACGTGGACGCAGCGTGCCGCTCTGACCGAAGGCATGCAGACGCCTTCCTCCTCCGAGCCCCACCCCTCTCCTGCACGCCCGGGGCCTCGGCTCAGGCCCCGAGGGGAAGGGAAGGAGGGTGTGGGCCAGCTTCCCGCCCGCCCGGGGCACCCAGAGTCCCGGGTGCAGCTCGGCCCTCGTCCCCTCGGTGGGGGTGGTGGCGGACCGCCCCCCCCGGCCCACCCGAAGTCACTTCCTGCGGGTGAGCCCCACCCGAGTCCACTCACGCTGGCCCCGGGGCCTCAGCCGGCCCCTCCAAGCCCCCAGCACCCCCCGCCCTGCCCGGCCGCCCGGCCCTGCGTACTCGAGGACTGCGTGCGTGGCCGCGCCGGGGTGGTAGCGGTAGAGGAGGAGGCTCTGGTCCACCCGGACGACCCCGCCGCCCTTCCGGAGGTGCTCGTAGAAGAACAGCAGGTCCTCGGGCACGCCCTGCAGGGGGAGGAGAGCAGGTCCACGTCCTGGCTGTGTCCCTGGGTTTGTCCTTTCAGGCCTGGGGTCGCAGGCCACGCGGCCAGCCTCCACCCTCCCAGTCACAGCTGCTGACCACACACCCAGCCACCACGGCCCACGGATATTGCTGGGGAACGGCCGCCGCACACGGCTCTGAGAGGTGTGGGAGAAGGGTGGGGGTGGCCTGGCCGGGCCCCCAACCACAGAGACCAGGCCTCGCGCTCTCAAAGCCAGTTTAAGGCCGGGCGGGGTGGGGGTGGGAATACACTCGTCATCCCTGAGGCTCACTCTCTGAGAGGAAGAAACGTTGATGTGAGAGAGAGACTCCAACCGGCTGCCTCCCACACACACCCCAACCAGGGCCTGCACCCTCCACCTTCTGGTCTGCAGGACGGCACTGCGCCCAGCGGGGCCGCCCCGGCCGGGGCGTGAGGTGTGCTTGCCAGCCCGCTGTTGGAGCATTCGGTCTCGGACCGTCTGCAGAGGGACCGGTCAGCAGGTCGGCAGCCAGGTCTCCATTTCTAGGCCATGGTGGCCTGGCCCCTGCCCGGTTTGGGCAGGAGTGTGTGGGGGCTGCCGCCCACGGGGCGGGGGAAGGGGAGATAGGCTGCTCCTCCCCCACCAGCCACATCCCAAGCTCTCCCACACACAGCTTCTCCCCCAGGATGAGGTAACCGGGGGCCTGGGCCAGGGCGCCTGCAGCCGCCACACAGAAATCCCCTGCTTTTGGCAAAACAGACGTGCCCCAGCCCGGCTGTGCCCCGGGGCGCTCCGCAGAGCCCAGCGGGGGCGGCGTGGGGGGACCGTCACAGACGGCGACTTCTGAGCCCCAGCCCTACGAGCGGGCGGGGCAAAGGACCCATCCCGGGAGTGACAGACCCCCCGCCCCAGAGGAGGGCTCCAGGGGGCAGCCGCACTTACCCGCCCGCCCTCGTCGAAGGGGCCCACGTGCGAAAACCACGCTCGAGAGCAGAACCAGGAGGGCATGATCACAGTTGGGCCGTTGGAGGTGAACACCTAGAAGCCATCGACATCGGCAGGGTTCAGAACGGTGCGTCACAAGCACCGGTAATTAATTTCCCACAGCGTGCCGTCAGAAACCGACGGCTTCTTTGCATGTCCCTTCCCTGTAGGTACGAGGGTTCAGGAGACCTGACCGCCAGATGGACACTGTCCCCCTCCCACGGCCGAGGCCAGCCACACCCCAGCGCCTGCGCGGCTGACACACGCAGGCCGTTGGTGGAGGGGCCCCCGGCTGTGGGCTGACCGCAGGGCCGTGGGCAATGCAAGGCCCCGGCAGCCACCGCGGGCTCCAGCGCCCCTACGTTGTCTAAGGGCGACAGGAGCACAAGGACGGCAGTGAAACGGGGGAGAGCGAAGACAGTGTGGCCCCGGGGGCGACTGCTCCTCGTCCCATCAGAACCAGGACAGATGGGCTCGTCCTGGTGGTGTCTTTCCAGCTTCTCTGGGTCCTTGCTTTTCAACAGCTCTCATTGCCTGCCACGGCTCCTCCCTCCAAAAGGCGGCTCAGGGGTCGCCGGGCACACAGCGGAGCCGGCCCCAGCAGGACCGAGCCGCAGGGAACACCCGTCGGGACAGCCTCCGTGTGCTCCCAGAGTCCGGCGGGCGGTCACCTCCAGACTAGACGGCACCTGACGCTTGGTGAAACGGTCCGTGTTCACCCCGCAGCTCTCCGAACGCGCAGACGGGAAGTGGCCATTCCCAACACACAGCGGACGCCCAGGAAAGTGTCCTTCTCAGTGGGAAGGCCAGGGTGGGAACGGGTAGCCCAAGTTCGCTGGCCGGCACCTTCCAGCGGTCAGCGTGCTCACCCCGGGGCTCCGTCTCTCTCTGTGAGCACCAGAAAGTGTTCCCAGGCGGAAGGCGGGCTGGCTCACGTGGAAATGGCTCACACAGGACACGCCTGCTGCGGTTTTCTCTTCTGCCGGGACTGCTGCTGCACAGCCCTACACTACCCGGGGCCATGGATGAGCCTCAGCTTCTGCCGCGTCAGAGGCCAGGGGCCAGGGGCCAGGGGTCAGGACGGCAGCGACCTGCTGGCCAGACCGGCGCACATGGTCAGAACCACTCAAGTGAAGTGCATGAAGAAAGAGGAGCACCTTTGCTCAGCACCTTGATTCTCTTAAAAGGTGGGTGCACTGCAGGTGAGAGGCGGAGGGAGGTCACGCCCTTACAAACTCTCAGAGACAGGAGTTTTCCTAGGAAACGTGTCCATCTCCCGCCGCCACGCTGCCCCTCGCACGGGGAGGTCCCGGGTGACTGCACGAGGCTCTCGGGGCGGCCAAGGCCAGCGTCCAACCAGCGAGGACCCGGAGAGGCCGCGTGGGGAGCCAAGACTCCTGCCCCACCCCAACCTCTGGTTCTCAGGGTCCGGCCCCTGGGATGTATTAGGACCCTCGGCCCCCTGCCACCTGCGTGAGAGGCTCTGCTTCGGGCGACTGGGTGCCACGTTGGGGGAGGAGGAAAGTAGAATTAAACTCCGCAGCCCGTGCGCCCAGCCTGTTTCCTTGTGTGTGTGTGTGTGTGTGTGTGAGAGAGAGAGAGAGAGAGAGAGAGAGAGGGAGCTGTGCAGGAATGGCATGTGTCTGGAGCTCTCTGCACAGGTACTGCGGGAAGGTCAGTGTGGAAAACAGCACGGGGCAGAGCAGATGCCTTCACGCCCAGCTCCACCGCTCACTGCCAGGCCTCCGTTTCCCCCGGGAGCCAGAGGGACCCTTGGGGACTGCAGACCCTGCTGGCCTCCCAGCCAGGGGCTGGCGCCTCGACTGCTCACCTGCCACCCAGCTTCGCTGGCGCCGCGCAGAGCAGCCTGGCACCGTGGGCACCAAAGGCCTGGCTGTGCACCAACCAACCTTGTTTACAAAACAGGCAGCCAAATGCCCTGCCAAGCCCTGACCTAACTGGTGAGGCGCGGGCCTCCGACTTCGACTTCAGTGAAAACTGCTTCCATTGCTGAGCCTGCCTCCCCCAACGGACTCGGAATTCTTGGAACCCAAACGAAATCAGCCCAAGAAGCATAAATGCTTTCACTTTGGTTTTGTATGTTCTTGCACGTGTAGGTACATCACAGGCAATGAACCTGCGGCTCAGAGGGTGCAAGGGGGACTCCGGCGCTGCGCAGCCCAGCAGAGGGCGCTCTGGGCCTCGAGGAGGGACCGGAGAGCCGAGGTCGGAGGTTCAACGTCAGAACCCTCGCTGGCTGCCGGGCCCCAGCCGGAGGGCCCCAGCCGGAGGGCCCCAGCCGGAGGGCCCCGAGGCTGGGTCTGCAGCTCACTTCCCCTGGGGGGGAAGCAGGGCTCCACGGTGGCCACCACCCCTCTCCTCCCGAGAGACCGAGACCGATGCTGGGTTTTCTAAACCATTTCATCGACTTCTGTTTCCTCTTCACTCTCCAGCTGTCACTCCCCACTGGTGTCACCCGCTGAGAAATCAGATAACCCTGTTTCTTAGAATTGTGCCCGAAAGAAGGTTCCCCACGTGAGGCCTCACAGGCCCAGGCTGCTGCTCTGCGGAGCCTGGCGTGGGGGTGCTCCCTTGTTCTGCGCCGACAGGAAGTGCCCGTGGCAAACGGGAGCTGTGCGTAGCTCCCTCCCAAACGTGGAGAGTCTGTCCAAGGGCGGCTCGGGTACAGAATACGCTGAAACGGGACCCTGAGGTGCCCTGTCCTTGGTCCTCAGGAAAGGCCCCGGAAGGGCGGTGGGTACGGCAGAGCACCCTTTAAGATGCTGTCAGCACTTAAAAGGAAGAGGAAGTAAGGATTATAGGTTTAAAATGGGCCAGGTTTTATGCCAAAGGAGACGCCCGCCCTGGCATCAGGAAGAGCGTGAGCACTTAGAAAAACTCACAGGCCCCACAGCTGTCTCTCAGCAGGAAGCGACAGGGTTCTTTCGGAGCCAGAGCAAAGTTGACGTGACTCATTCCCGGAGCTCTGTGGCTTCTTATCCTCATTTCTAAATTCTGATTTGTTGGAAGACTATCTTTAGACAGATACCAAGTTTCCAGTATTCTGACAGTTTAACATCCACACAACAAGGAGAATGAACTCTGACGTGGCGTCTGGATGCGACGGCCACAGCCGCCAGCGAAACACGTCCTCCCTCGGGATGGCGCAGAGAAGGCTGCAGCCCGCCCGCGGCGGGGCACGCCAGGTCTCGGGGTTCACGAGCGTGGCCTGGCCGGAGTGAGGTGGGTGAGAACCACTCAGCCCGAAGGACAGACGTTTCAGGAAGACGCACTGAGACGCGTGGACACGTCCCACAAGTTCACACGAGCGGAGCAGCTCTGTCCGTGCCTCAGGGCCTGGCGGAGCGAGGGCGGCGGGCCGTCTTCCCAGCTGGCCAGGAGGCACCTTGGTTTTGCCGAGTATCTCCAGGTGGGCGTGCCACAGAGCAGTCGGCCCCGCAAACCTTGCAGTCTTGTGGTTGAACCCTCACGTTTCACAGAAGTAACGCTGGGCCACAGAGGTCCCACTGCTGGCCGAAGGCCCCGGGCCTCGGGGGCGGCAACCGGGCCGAGGCACCCGCTCCCCACAGGCGGGGAGGACCCAGTCAGGACCAAGACCGCGGTGCTTTCTCAGCAGCGGGGCCACAGCCCTCGACCTAGGGGCCAGGACGCCGGAGAGACCTTCCGGGGCCGGCCCGCCTCTGCTCCCCCACCATCGCTACTGCTGCTGGCCCCACGAGGTGGGCTGAGCTCTCACCGCCACCCAAGGGTGCCCTCTGCAGCTCTCCTCCTCTCCCCGGGGTCCTCCTCGAGAGGAAAGGAGCGCGTGGCACCCCCAAACCCATCACCATGGCCAGCGCTTTTGTCAGCCAGCGTGGGACCAGGGAGACCAGTGCTGATGAGAAGAAAACTCACGCTCGGAGCCCTGGAAGGACAGCCGCCACCAGCAGAGTGTCGGGTCTGCCGAGACTGCGGACTGCAGCCCACAGGGCAGCCCTGACCTCCAGTGGGGCTACACGGAGGGAGGTAAGGGCAAGGGGGCCCTGGGACTGGTGTCCCCCCAAGAAGAGGAAGAGACCGCAGGAATGAGGACACAGGCAGAAGGTGGCCTCAGGAGGAACCAGCCCTGTGGACACCTTGACCTTGGACTTCCAGCCTCCAGACTGAGGAGTGAGTGTCTGCTGTGTTAGTCATGACAGCACAAGCAGGTGGCAACTCCAGGAAGCACGGACCCCGGATGGGGGGCACGGGGGAGGGGGAAGGTGGGGGTGCTTCCCATCTGCCCCATTTTAGTGCCGAGCCAGGCACTGGCTCCCCCACGGCCCGGCCGGACCCCCCAGGGGCAGCCTCGGAGGCAGGGAGGGGCCTCTCCTCTGCCCCCTCCCTCGTCTCGGGAGGTGCGGCCCTCGGGAACAGCTCCCCACGGGAGGCCTGCCACAGGGGCTCGCAGGGCGGCCCAGCCCCAGCCATTCTGTGTGGACAGCACCCCTCCCCGTTCCCCTGGAGCCGGGCGGCGTCACCCGTGCGGTGGCACCTGTGCGCACCCGTGGGACTCCGCACGGGCAGTGTCTGCTCAGCTCAGACGTCACCCCACACGGTGCTCCTCGCGCCGCAGGCAGGTGGTGGGCGTGGCGGCTGAGCACGGGCCTCTCACCTGGCGGCGATTCGCCTCCCCGGAACAGTGGGGGAGGGCTTCTGTCACTGGGGCGGTCGGGAAGCCACTTCAGGAAGAGAGCATCTTCTCTGAGTTTATTTCAGGAAACTTCCGACTTCAAGGTCCCCTGACTCGCTAAAGAGAACCAGTTGGGAGCGCCCTGCCTCCGCCGTTTCTGTGATGTGCACCAGCTCAGGCTTCCTGCTGGCCCTCGGCTCAGGACTCGCGTTTCTGGCTGAAAACGTGCGTGCTGCGCTTCAAGGCCGTCACCCACGTCCTGCGTGAGTCTCACTCTGCCCGGAAATCAGGTGCAGGTCAGCAGTCCGGCTCGGCAGCTTCCCTCCCTCGGGGGGGTCTGCCCCGCACTCGGGCCTCAGACTGGGCTCCGAGGAGTCCTTCCAGGGCCTCTCGGCAGAGCGGAGCCTGCCCCTCCCCGCCCAGCAGCACCCGAGCCCCCGGGCGCAGGGGACTGGGCAGGGCGCCCCGCTGAAGCTCTTGCAGCCCTCCGCTGAGTCAGCTGTGAGTCTTCGTTCAGGAAAACATGCAAGAAGCCGTGAGTGTGTGTCCTGAGGAAGTGTCTGCACGTGGGACACCCACCTCTGGGTGGAGGGAGGACCAGGAAGCACGGCTGCCTGTTCTCCACGGGGCACGGGGCTGGACGAGTCCCGCCAACAGGTCAGTGTGCCACCGGAACCCTCGGCAGCGTGTGCTGGTCTGGACCACGCAGGTGTGATGGTCCAGAGCTGCGTGCTGTGTCCTGCAGGCAAGGCCAGGACTCGGAGGAGGCGGTGCAGCTGACCCGCCTGAGGTGGCTGCACACCCCGCGTGCCAGGCCGGAGAGCCCCCTGGCACCCACAGAGGGAGGTGACTGCCGGAGGGCTAAGCCTCGCACTCCCAGAGCCGCTGCCACGAGAAGCTCTAATTTCAGATGCTGATGACCACACAGACCGTTCGGTTATACCGAGATTTCTGTTTTCCAAGTTCAGTTCAGGAAAAAGCGTGTCTTCACGTGGCAGGAACGCAGGATCACTGTGTGGGAACCTCCGTGTTAGCACCTGCTGCGTCCCGGCTGGGGTGGCGGGGCCGCCCCGCGCCTGCCACCTGTCCTGGCCACCCCGCACTCCTCGCCGGTGGCTTCCAGTCTGACTTCAGCCCACGCCTCCTTGCAGCTCAGGGTCAGCGGCTGGCCACCCGCGGACAGCCCCCTCCCAGATGGTGCATCTCGGCCCAGCCCGGCCCGGCCACGGCGAGCCCTCCACCTCCCAGAAGGGCCCTTTGGCCCCGCCTCCTCAGGCACGCTCCTCTGAAACGCCAACCCTTGCCCAGAGAGCACTTGGCCCCCTGGAGGTGGGCAAACCAGTGCCGCAAGGGTGAGCCTCACCCGGGCTCTCAGCATGAAGGGGTGTGCTCTCCAGGGCGGCCTCGGCCAGCTCCCAGGCTGGGAAGCAAGTACCTGTGTGAGAAGCTGGTCGGGCGTCAGCTGGTTGATCCAGCGCGTGTACCGTTCCGTGGAGTTGGGGGGCTCTCTCCTCACTCGGCAGCCTATGATCTGGGACACAGAGGGAAGTCACCGTGAGTGCCTGCGAGCACACCCCTCCCCCGGCGGGAGCTGGCGCCTCTGGGCTGGGTGAGGGAGTGCTTCCCACCCAGTGGGGGGCTGGGGGGGGGCAGCAGGGCCCTGCTGGTGGCCCTGCTGGTGACCCTGCGCGGGACAACCCTGAGCCGTCCCGGCTTGCTCATCACAGACGGCACTTCCCTGCAGCGTATTCACACCCAGTGACCGACACACAACTTCGAACGCCCGATTCCTTCCAGAAACGCTCTTCTCGGACCTTAACTCAGAGCAGACACGAGGTCACCGCTGTACCTCTGGGGCAGCAAAACCGGCCGGTCCATTTCTCGCCCCCTGAAAGCGGGAACCTCGAAATCAGCACAGGCTGCAGTGCTTAGAGCCCACCTTCCCCAGGGCCGGCCCCTCGTCGAGGCCGCCAGGCCCCCTGGCGGGTGCTCAGCACCCCTGCAAGAGCCCTCGGCCGCGTAACTCCCTCCTGGTGCCGGAAGCCTGGCCCTGCCTCCAGCAGTCCACACGTTCCCCTCCCAGTGCCTCCGCAGTACACTGGCCTTGCACCCCTGACCCTGACCTGTCCCCCACAGTGCCCAGGAGTCTAGGGGGGGCTGCCTGCACTGCTGACGGATCTGCATGCTCGTCCCTGAGGTGGTTCAGGTGGGTCTGGAATGGGCTGTCCCTGCCGCAGCCATCGGGGGTCCCCACGAAGGCAGAGAACTGAGCCCTCCTCCCCTTTGTGGCTGGGGGCAGGCAGCTGGGGGGTGTCGGCCCCTTGGTGAGGTCCTGGGGCCCACAGGACCCCCATGAGGATCTCACAGAGCCTGCCAGGGGCGTGACGCCAACATCGGATCGCATGACTACACTCTCGTCACCTCACTGACCAACGAGGAGCCGGTAAGAGAAACCAGAGAGGTGAGCGTGACAACCTCCATCACTGGATGAGCCTCCTCACTAAGACTGCACCGCAAGTCTCACCACTAACACATAGCCGCCAGCTGATATTAATGCAGTTGTCCCCTGAGTTTGAGACGGTTTTGCTCGCTTGCCGTTTCTATTGTTGGCTTTTTAATTGTGCTTTTTGAGAAACTGGTGGATTCACATGTAGTGAGGACAAATGCAGAGAGATCCGTGTGCCCTCCACACGGTTTCTCTCATGGAGAAAACTACAGCACACGGCCACCCAGGAGCTCGGGGACACTGAGGCTCCCAGCACCACAGGGCCCCAGGCCCCTTCACAGCCAGGCCCACCCCTTCCGTCACCCACAACCGTGTCCCTCCAAGAATGCCGTGTGAACGAACCATGCCGTGTGCGGCCTTTGGGGACCGAGTTTTTGCCTATTCCACAGTTCTCTGGAGATTCGCCCAGGCTGCTGTAACAATAGTTTATTCTTTTGGCTGAAAATAGTCCACACTACAGATAAACCACAGTCTGTTTCGCCTGCTACAGGATGTCTGCATTTTTTCCAGTTTGGGGCTGAACATCATTAAATCCCGTTAATTTTGAGCCTCACCACTAGTAAGTGCTGTCAGTCGGCTGTAAGCGTTCACAGTCAGGTTTCCGTGGGAACACCAGTCTTCGCTTCTCCGGGACGCATGCCCAGGAGCGTGCGTGACCGCCGGGTCACACGGTAGGTGCACGTATGATTTAAGAAGGTGCCAGGCTGTCCTCCGGAGTGGCTGCACTGCTCACCGCCTCCTCCACGCCCCCCCACCCCCCACCCAGCATCCTCGCCAGCATTCGGTGTCACGGCGTTTTCTACCGTTTCTTTCTGGTGGGCGTGAGCTGATACTGCGCTGTGGTCTCATCTGCAGTCAGTCCCCAGGGGCTTGCGATGTTACCCCTCTTCCCATGGGATTCTTTGCCATCTGTCCGTCCTCTGTGGTGAAATGGCTTTCATGTCTTCTGTCCGCTTTCTGGTTGTGGTCAGACACAACTGCCCACAGGTGTGTGGTTTTTACGTATCGCTGAATTCTGCTTGTGAGCCTCTCAGACACACCCCGCACAACGTGCGCTGACGATGCTGTGAACCAGAGCGGCTCCGGGGTGTTCGTCTGCCCCGAGTGAGTCTCCCCCACACCCCGTCGGACATACTTCCGTCTGCTGTGTTCACCTTCTAGTCTTGTCCACACTGGCCTGCATCTGGTTGCTGCAATGAGAAGACTTTGAGGGAAAATGCTGATCCAAAGCAGTGAGGTAGGAACCCTTCACGTCAAAGGGTTCCCAAACATGAGGCAAAGGGGCCAAACTTCCATAAGAAAGACCAAGTCCCCGAGCCCCAGGACCACTGTGTCACCGACAGCTGCCCAGGGGTGACGGGCCAGCCCGCCGAGCACAAGCCAGCCCCTCTGGAGCTCGCCTCGGCCGGGGGACTGTGGGAGCCGCGGACGCGCTCCTTCTGGATATGGGAGCAGACTCGGCTGCTGCCGCCGACCAAGGCTGGAGCCACGCCGGGCGGGCGTCCCATGTGGGGGGGGTAGGTGGGGATCACGGGAACCTGGCACTTCGGGACCACAGCTCTGAGAGAGACGCCATCACCGCGAGCATGGCCCACACACGAAGGCGTGGAGGGGTGTCACTCACCCCGACAGTTCCTTAGAGGCACGCTGGCGGGGAGCCCAGGGCAGCCAGAGGCAAGCCACGCGGACCCCCCGCCTTGAGGAGGCACCTGTGGTACACACCGAGGCTCTTCCTGTGGCGCCCACAGGGCGGCCCTGCTCTCTGCTGCGGCCGGTGCTGTCTGGTGGGCGGGGGGGGGCACACACCAGCCCTCCAGCCCCACGCGAGAGCTCAGGCTCCAGAGCGGAGGCCCCCGTGCTCGCCAGGCCCTGGGCGCCGCAAAGACGGAGGTCCCTGCCGCCAGCACCCCGCATCCCCTCAGCTCGAGCCGCCTGGCAGGGGGCTCCCTGGGGACTCGCTGAGGTCCGGGACATCCCACACAGGGCCCGTCCGGCCCGAGGCTGCAGAGGAGGAGCCCTCGGCCCGTGCTGGAAACATCCCAGGATGCCGCGCACCTTGGGAAAGTGCCCCCCCGCCCCCAGCTCCTGGTCTCTGCTCAGGGAGTTTCCGCACACGGTGGGCAGTGCCGCAGTGGGAGCTGCCTGGGGGCGCCCCAAGTTCCGCAGAGAAGGTGCTGCTGTGCCATCTATGGGAGCTGCCTCCAGGGGCCTTTCTTTCACGCTTAAATGGCTTTCTTGTAAATGGCCTTAAAAACAGCAACCGAGGGCAAGCATACACTTACCATTCATTTCATTCTTTCCAAACTATGTATGAGACATAATTCGCAAAACCACCAACCAGCAACTGCACATTAAAACTTTTGTAGGTCATGATTTAAAAAAAACTCCGACCCCACAGTAACGTGCTCTCTGAAGCTGCTCTGTGTGGACACGGCGGCGAGGCCGTCCCCGGTCTCCGCTGACGCCCGCACCGAGCCCGCAGGACCCACAGGAGGAGGCGGCGGCTGCTCTTGGGGGGGAACCGGGTTAGAGGGTCAGCGGGAAAGCTTTTTGCCAGGACTTCACAAGAATGCAAAACAAGGCAGTTTGATTAAGTTAATGGTGAACTGACAGTCTTCCTTTTCTCCAAATTCTTCGCGTATCCCTAGATACCGTGGTGTGTTTGAGCCTGTGTGTGCAGAGCTGCCCAAAGTAACTTCACTAATGAGCCAATCGTGTTTGGTTTTTTTCAGCAGGAGATGAAAAAGGTGGAGGACAGCACATCTGACAGTACCTCACTCCCCACAGCGTGAACACGGGCGGCAGGGCGCGGTGGCAGTTGCAGCGTGGGGAACGTTTTAATGCTCGGGAAGTGCCGTGCGGCAGCCTCCGTGCCTGAAGACGTGGGCGGCTCACCCAGCCGCTCAGACACACGCCGTCCCCCCGGTGGGGCGAGACCCTGAGGGCGCCGCTGCGCTCCCCAGCTCACGCGGTGGGTGGGGGGGGAGGTGGAGGGCAAACCGGTGAGAGCAAAGACGACCGGCTCGGCAGCCAGTCTGGCCGCCAAACGCCACTCCCACTTCGGAGACTCTGGCCACCTGTGACGCTGTCCCGCCCGTCAGGGCCAGCGGGAGGAATGGCTGCGCGTCTGCCGACATGCCCTGGGGGCGGGAGTTCACCCAGGGTGTCTTCCAGCAGGAGCCCGACCATGACACCTGGCTTGTGCGTCTCCTCTCCCCGTCCACGTCCCTGAGAACCCCTGTCCCCCTCTCTGGAGGCCGGCTGACTGACCCCCAGGAGGATCCGGTGGTGCCCGAAGACCAGGGGTCCTGCAGGTTCGAGGCCAGGCCCGCTGCCCAGGGCCGGACGACGTTCCCAGGAGGCTCCCAGGAGAAGCAGCTAACAGCGCCCGTGCCGTGTGCAGGCGTGTCCTCCGACGTGGACGGGACGGAAGGAGACCGCCAGCCTGGGAACAGCGGGTGAGCCTGACTGTGGAGCCGCAGGGTCCGTCTCCCCACACGCCGTGGCGCTCGGGCTTTGCTGGTTCGTGGCCTTCTCAGAATCTGGCGGGAGCCGCAGAACCACATCGGGCTGCCTGCCGCTACTGCGGAGGGTCCGCTCACGTCCTCTCAGCCTCCACGCCTTGGGGACGGGCCTGCTGGCAGTCCCCCACCTTCCTGCGTGCTGGGCTCCAGCTCTGGCCTGGGCCCGCTGGCCACACGCAGCCTCCGCCCTGTCCCTCAGACACTGATCTGTGCTCTGGGAAGGGTTTGTAGATGTGGCCGGAGCCCGTGACCACTGACTCTGAGGGAGGCCACCCTGGGCGACCTGCCGGCCGACTCCATCCGGCGATGCCCCGCGAGGAAGCTGTGGCAGCACAGAGGTTGCACGGCGGCCCTCCCGCCGCCCCAGGCCGCCTGCTGCAGCAGTGACCCCGCCGCACCTGGCACTGCACGGGCTGCTGTGGGGGGCCGGAGCCCCAGCCCGGGTTCTCGGGGCACTAGCCCTGTGTGGTGTCTGGGTCTCTCCTCCTCCTGCACCCCATCCCATTTACATCACCTTCGAGTGAAAACCATTCCTGAGCACACAGCTCGCACCCAAGCACTGATCAGACGCCCGTCCTTTATCTGAGATGCATGCAGAACGACGGAGGCAGGATCCCCGTTCCTGGGAACTCCCAGTCCACCAGGTGGACCGCGGGCAGCACAGGCGCCTACAAGGCTGGCCAGCCGTGGGGCAGGGGCGCTGAACTCTCCAGGGACGGCGGGCCCGGGGCAACCCAGAGGGAGGCGGCGGGACTGGCGTCCTGCAGGCGGAGTCCAGCCCGCAGGCAGAAGGGGGTCGGCCAGGCCCACAGGACGGGAGCTGGGACAGCAGGGCCCCAGACTGTGAACAAACACGCGTGTCCACGGAGCCTGAGGGCAGAGCAGGGTGTTCAGCCAGGACAGTGGGCACCGGGTGGTCACTGACGGCCCTTGGGGACCTGCTACCCTGGAGCTGAGGGGCTTGCTCCTTCGTGGTCCAGGGAGGGCACGTCGGCCCCGGGAGTCAAACACACCGCATATCGGGAGGACCGGCAGACTCAGCGAGAGGGGGTACGGCTGCCTGCCTGGGTCCTGGAGAGGCTGGCTCCGGGCCACCCGGGAAGCTGCTCTAACGACGAGGAGGGCACAGCTGAGGCCATCTGGGTGGCAGGAGGGGTTTCCTGAGGCCTGGAGCTGACCCACTGCGGCTCTCGGCCGGTGCCCTCGGGTCCAAGGTGCACAGCCTCTGAGACGCTGGTTGAGCAGAAGCAGACCAGGGGGCCCTCCGCGCCTGTCGGAGAGCGGGGGGCGCTGCCCAGGACAAGGGGCACGCCCTCCCTCGCAGGAAGCTCCCTGGGGGGTCCGCGGACGTGCTCACCTCCGACGGGGCCCCGAGTCCGGCAGCGCTGCCCTGACCCGGCTCTCCCCACCCCGAGGCAGGGTCTGGACTTAAAAAGCTGGGATGGTCCAGTGGGTCTCAACGGACTCGATACTGCTCGGCCGGTTTGTCCGAGGCCACGGCTCGGCGTGTGTCTCCCGAGAGCCACCCAGGCAAGAGTCTGCATCTGCAGACGGTGAGGCCTTCTGCTGGGAGGCCAAGGGAGACTCTGCACAACCATCGCACACACCCGACAAAATACCTGCGGTTGAGAATCGGTGATTCTTCTGACTGTGAGCGGTAGTTCAAAACCGTGTCCTTTTGAACAGTTCCTGTCGCTATCTTCCCACCTTTCCCCCCCAGAACAGTATCATAAATACCGCCTGTGAGAACTTGCACTCTAAGAATCTGTGTGGATTTCTTGTAGTTTTAGCTGAATGAAGTGTCATCAGCAATAAACAGGTCTCTTCGTGCCAAGAAAAATCAGCAAATAAAAGGCCTAGTGGCCGTGCTGTCGGCGGCAGGGAAGCACGGAACCGGACGCCAGCACTTACGCTCGCCGGGTGCTGCAGGGCGGCCTCCAGCTGCAGCCTCACTCTGGGCGGCATCATCACGTCGTCCTGCGGGAGGAGCCCACGGTGACTCCCGGGAAGCGTCCGACCGACACGAAGGACCGGCAAAACGGGAGACAGACCAGAAAGGCACGTCAGACGCTGCCCAGCAGCCGGACCCTGGGGTCCGCCCGCAGCTCTCTCCGGCGGCACGAGCGACTGCAGGCCAGCCTGGCCAGGGGCGGCAGGGGCGGGGGGTGCCTGCAGGGGGCGCCGCCTGCAGTGGGGCTGGGTCTGAAGCTCTGCTGCCCTCCCTTCCTCTGCCTCAGGGTGCCCTGTGACCTCCGGCTTCCGGCCCGGAGCCTGCCGACCCAGAGGGGGCACGCACGCGGGGCAGCCCACCGCGAACAACACGCTTAGCAGTGGGAGGCTTCGGCTCTCTCTTCTGAGACTGGGAAGGAGACCAGAGTGGCCATGCTCACGACTTCTGTTTAACAAATTACTGAGACTTAGGCGTTAAAAAAAAAAAAAACGGAAATAGGGTTAGGGAGGGGACAAAGGCTGTGTGCACAAATAACCCAAGAGAACCTACAGGGAAAGATTAGAGTTAAAAGTGGGTTTAGTGCCTGGCCGGATGCACAGCGGTCCCGGGTCCCGGGTCCCGGTGCGGACCCCGGTCGGGGGGTGTGGGAAGGCAGCCAGCCGACCAGTGCTTCTCTCCCACCGATGCTTCTCTCTCTCCCTTCCCCCCTCTCGCTAAAACAGCAAATGAAAATGCCCCCGGGCAAGGGTAAAAACAGTAATAATAAAAAGTGAATTTAGCAAGGAAGGTTTCTGGATACAAGACTGATAACTTCTTCACATCTACAAAGTTTTTAAAATGCCACGTATCAAAAAAACATCGAGTGACTTCCGTGTATGGCTGGTGAGAATGTAAGGTGGTGCCGCCACTTTGGAAAACATTCTGCTAGTTCCTCAGAACGAGAAACAGAGTCACAACGTGACCCTAGTCACACGCCTGCTAGGACTGAGCGCGCCACCCACACACACACCGGCACAGGCCTGCTCGTAGCAAAAACCATCTCCGCTCACGGAAGTGCTGATGCAGCGGGAGATTGTGAAGCAGGCCCCGGGGCAGGGTCTGAAGGGAGACAACGGGACAGGAGGGACGCCTGAGTGTCCCCCGGACGAGAACTCTGGGGAGCTTCCCCCCAAGAAAAGACGAGGGAGATGAGAGACCGAAGCAGCAGGGCAGGAAGCCGCAGCCCCTGCTGGGCCTTGTCTTCAAGGGCAGGGCTGTGTGTGGGCAGCGGCACGGTGCGGGCTCGCGCCCCCCCCCCCCGGCCCCCCGGCCTGCACTCGCGGGAGACCCTGCGCCCAGGCCGCAGGTGGTCGAGGACAAGGCCGAGTCCCCGGGAGATGGAGGGAAGGTTCCTGTGTGAACCGGATCAGCGCAGGCAGAACCTCTGGGCCAGCCCAACCCTGAGGAGGAAAACAGTGGCCCCCGAGACCTGCACGGAACCCTGGGAGCCCTGCACCCCAGGCCCCGGAAGGAGACCGAGGCCAGAGCGAGTGCAGGCGGGTGTGCGTCCGGTGTGCCCCGGGGTCCTCACAGAGAAGGCCCGTCCCGGCGGAGAACACCGCAGCCTCCTCCGGAATCTCTGCGCTGCCTGGAAGTGAGCTCTCGGGGTCCGGGGCACAAGCACCCTCCCAGTCCTCGTACACGGTGCACAGCGATGCTGTCACCAGGACCCGTTCCCACTTTCCAAGTGCTGTCTACAATTTTAACACTTGGTTGATCTGGTTTTTGAAAGTAGTGTGTCACCAACTTGTTTCTTTGTTTGCAGCGTGTCGTTTGTCCCTGCACTTTGGGGGAAGTCCCTACTCCGGCCCTCTCCCATTTATCACCCCCATTTTCCTTTGGGTTTGCCTATCAACTCACATAAGTTATTTGTTCTTAAGGCTGTTAATTTTTTCTTTTTTATCCTCACCTGTGGACATTTTCATTTCGTTTAGAGATGGAGAAGAAGGAAGAGAGAGAAACATCGACGTGAAAGATTGGTTGCCTTTGTACGCACCCAGAACGGGGGTCTGTGCCGCGACCGGGAACTGAGCCCACGGCCTTTCGGTTACAAGACGACGCTCCAGCCGCAGGGCCACGCAGGCCAGGGCGAGGCCACCAGTCCTCCAACTGACAGGACCCTAACCTTTAAGAACTGTATTTGTGGACATCTTCCTGGTTTGTCCTCATCTCTGTGTACATGGTTCTCTGCTATGTCATTTTGCTCTCTCGTGTAATCTTATTTATCAGAACTTAAACTCGTTCAGAGCTATGGTAATTAAATGGCAAACACCTATCAACTTTAACTTTTCAGTCTGATCATAATATACTAAAGATTTTTCAAGACGCACACTAAAATTAAGATAATTTGATCTTACATTTAATTATCTAACCAACATATAGGTATATATATATATATATATTTTTTTTAAATAGAGCAATAAGTTACTTACCGCATCCAAAAAGCAAAGGTAAGACCCTGAGCTCTGTGCTATTGCTTGATTTTTAGAATATCCAACTGTTTAAAAAGAAGAAAAGCTATGTTATAGTTCAGTTTTCAGTGGTATCGTCCTTCATAGAAGTCAGGACGACGCGCCCCACGGGAAAGCTAGGCGCGCTTCGCAGGACCAGGTGGAAACGCAGGTCGGCCTCCAGGGGAGGGGGAGGGACCACACCCGTGTGCAGGGGCTGACCCCCGGACGGCCCCCCGCACCGGGGCGTCAAAGCAGGAGGAGCTCCCTGGACCCGGGGGCGTTCTTTGACAAACAAAATGAAAGCGCCCCGGAGCGAGTGCCCGAGAGGGCCCCGACGGGAAGGCTCTCCTGGGGGCCTCGGCCGACAGAGGTCACCGCGGGACCGTCTAGTGGCAGGGGGCACACCCGGGTGGGCCGGCGGGCACCAGCTCCCTGGACCGGCTGGCAGTGGCCTGAGCGCGTCTCCTGCCGTCAGGTGCGGCCTCCGCAGCGTCTCCGTCCAGACGTGCGCGCGCCCTGCGACCCCGCAGCCGCGCTGCCACGCCCAGGCCCACAGAACCCTCCACCGAGGAGGGGCGGAGCGGCTGTCCGCTGCCTCCACCGCCGGAGCAGGCCGCCGCGGGCCGCGCGCAGTGCGCGGGATGCCGAGGAGGCCACCACGGTCGGTGGCAGACACTTTGTGGTGACATTTGCACAGAGCAAAGGCAGCGGATTCACCGGTGCTGCCAGGAACCAGGAGAGTGCGTGCACCTGGGGAAAGAGGGGTGACCCCAGGGGCTCGGGGGGCTCCTGGGGGCCAGAAACGTCAGCTCTTGGTCAGGTGCCGGTCACACGCTGAGCTCAGTTCGTGAGAATGAACTGAGCTGCGCAGTTCTGACACGTGCACTTTCCTGTATGGACGTTTGTACACGTGTGTATTCTGTATGTTGATTTTAGAGAGGAGGGGAAGGAGAGAGAAAAAACACCCACCGGTTGCCTCCTGCATGTACCCTAACTGGGGATCCAGCCCATAGCCCAGGTATGTGCCCTGACGGGGAATCGGACTCCCCACCCCTTCGTATATGGGACGACACTCAAACCAACTGAGCCACGCGGGATGGGGCTGGATATTCTACTGTACCAACTGTCGTTCAAAACCCTTGCCTTCGAAGAGATCACAAGTGAGTTGGAGAAAAGAGCTCAATGATAACCTGCGGTTAGATGCCACACGAAACCACCAGGAAAAGCGACCTACAGGGGCTTCTCGAGAGAGGACACGCTCGGGGAAGAGGGAGGGACTCGAGGCGTTTAACAGCAGCGAGAAACCGGTGCAGAGCACACGCTGAGGGGCGCGCCCAGGGGAGGGTGTGTGGGAGCCCCGGCTGGGCTGCCGGGGCTGCCGTCGGGCTGAGGAGACAGGGCCAGCGGAGGGCGCGGATGTTAACGCTGAGCGGGCGAAGCCTGGGTGCGGAGGGCAGGGAGGGCTGGAGGAGGTATTTAGCCCCAGAGGAAGGGGCTGAGGGGACGTCCAGGGGCACAGTGACCACTCTCCCTGGCGAAGAGGTTGCTAGCACCTGAATCGTGTTAACCAGACAGTTCCAGAGGTGGTGCCACCAAGGAAAGTCACAGAAAGCAAGAACAGGTGTGTGCAAAGCCAACACAGCAAATCCCTCAGGGGCTCAAAACCAAGACAACCCGGAAAAGGGTGCAGGCCCCCGGGGACACCAGCTAAGTGTTTGCTTCAGGCCGCACCCAAGGTGCTCCTGGCTTTACCTCCAGAGCACCTGCCCCAGGCGGGAGAGGCCGGCCCCTCCCTGGACCACCGGAGCCCAGCACCCTGCAGCAGGAGAGTGAGGGCTGCGACCAGAGACCCCCCCCCTCGGCCATTGAAGGCGACCCAGAGCAGTGCTGTCTTCACGCGGGGGAGCAGCTTCGTCTCAAGCGGGAATCCTTGACCTCGGCCCACCGCAGCTGGTCAGCGGAGTGGTCCTGGCTTCCAAGAACTGCAGGGATGGTGAGGCCGAGGAGAAAATGCCCCGAGACAGGCAGGGCGCCAGGCTCCCCGCCCTGTGGCCGGGTCAGCAGCTGTGGCTAACCCTCCGTCGTGGCTGGAGAGCCGGGCAGGCCCGGGAAAGTCCTCCCGGAACCGCACAGAAGGGCAGCGCGTGGAAAGCGAAAGCAAGCAGGAGGCTCCCACGAACACACGCGAGTCAGCAGGAGCTCTGTTCAGTGCTGCTCGCTAGAGCTGGGCTTTAGGAGGGAAAATCAAACCCAAGAATTTGGATCACGAAGGGAAATGTCGCTCACTGAGGAAGCTGGAAGTTTCCCACAATGAATCTTCTGTTTGGCAAAGACCAGGAATTTGCTTTAATATTATTGCCCTAAAGAAAGTCAAATGTTTGTGCCAGGGCCTGGTGTTTGGGGAGGCCGGAGCCTTTGTGAGGGGAGCCGGTTGTCATGGTCACAGCAGGAAAAACTCAGGCCAGTGCGGCAGCAACATTCCTCCCTCCTGGAGAGGAGGGGGCGGGGTTGTGTTTTATTTTGATTTTAGCAAGTGACCGCATTATTGAGAAATGTTTTCCTCTATTGTGATAGGAAATAGTAATAAATGAGTCTGAATCCAATTAAAACAACCCAGCGTTTCTGAAAATGGACACTTTGGATCTATGTCATACAACATTTTCTATTTGAGAAAATATTATTATAGGTAAATAGTCCTTTCAGATATAATCAAATTAACTGTTTTATTAGTGTGTGATTCAGAATCCACCTTGTGCGACTTCAAAACGACAGCAGGACGACTCCACTTCTTCACAATATTACAACAGGTTTTCTTGTTCTTGATAGCATACGTACAAATGGGATATGGCTCGAGTTATAGGTAACCCATAAAAAGTATTATATGAAAGGCAAAACATGTTTTTTTTTACTGGCTTTTTTTTTTTTTTCAGAGAGAGAGGGTGGGGAGGGGGAGAGAGAAAGAAAGACAGATTTCTTGATTCTCACATGTGCCCTGACCAGGAATCGAACCCACAACCATGGAGTATCGGGAGGATGCTCTCATCAACCGAGTTACCCGGCCTTGTTTTTAAACTGGCGATTAGACAAGCAATCACAACAGTTATCAAAATGCCCTCAATGTGTTCTCATCCAACTACGGAAGATGCAAAACATCTTGAAGAAGACTTGGAAATATACTATGCGCTGGCCGGTGTGGCTCAGTGAGTGGAGCGTGGTCCCACAAATAGAAAGCTCTTTGGGTTCAGTTCCCAGTCAGGGCACCCGCCTGGGTTGCAGGTTCTGTTCCTGGTTGGGGCACACCGAAAGGCAACCGATCGATGTTTCTCTCTCACATGGATGGTTCTCGCCTGCTCTTTCTCTCTTCCTCCCTCTCTAAAGGCAATGAAAAAAATGTCCTCAAGTGAGGATTAAAGAAAAAGAAAAAGAAGAATACTCATACTCATTTTCTAAAAACCATAATTTGTTTATATACATTTCAGAAACAACTTAATATACATGTTTCACAATAACTGATACAGGAAAACTTTAAATTATAAAAAGTGGATGAAAGAAATTAAAGAAGACCTAAGTCAATGGAAGGACAGTCTGTGTTCATGCACTGAGATTTACTGTTACTAAATGACAACACTCCCAAGTGGATCCAGGGATTCAGTGAAAGCCTTATCAAAATCCCAGTGGTCTTCTTGCAGAAACAGAAACATGGATTCTGAAATTCATATAAAATCATGCCCTGGCTGGTGTGGCTCAGTGAACTGAGCACCAGTGTGTGAACCAAAGGGTCACTGGTTCGATCCCCAGTCGGGGCACATGCCTGGGTTGCCAGCCAGGACCCCAGTAGGGCACAAGCAAGAGGCAACCACACCTGAATGTTTCACTCTTTCTCCCTCCTTTCCCTTCGCTCTAAAAATAAAATCTTTAAAGAAATTGGACCAAAATCTTTCTAACGCCACAAGAAAAAAAATTTAAGAAGCAGAGGTGAGCAGTAATACTCAGTTACACCAGAAATAAAAACACCCAAAGCTTTTAGCTGGGCTGAGTAAGTGAAGAATGCGCCGCGGTAGTGCACTGATCCGTCCCAACGGGTGAGAAGCGCGCGTCTGCGAGGGGGTCAACGCAAGCGTTACAGGGGACGCTCCTCGGCAGGGTCTGAACTGCGCGGAACCAGGTGAGAAGCCCCCATCACCGCGGAACGGTAACTGACCTCCACGCGGCGAAGGAGAGTCGTGCCCTCCAATGACCACACGGATCCCAGAACTTTCCAGCGTCACTTTCCACTTTTCAACGATCGCCATAGACTTGTCCTGAAAGCGAGAGGGGCCTCCGGTCAGGGCAGCTGGACCCCGGCGGCCAGGTGGCCCGCCGGCGGCGGGAAGGTCCCCTGTACCTTGCTGGCGTCGTTAAACACCGAGAGCTCCATGGGGCCTTCAAAGTCCTGCTGCAGCACCGACCGCAGGCACTCGTCCAGCCAGGGCTCGGCGTCGTGCACCGGGAGGATGACAGACTGGAATTCAAGGAGCCGGGTCAGCGCCCGGGGGCGTGGGGGGAAGCCCGCCGCCCGCCTCGCGCTCTGGCCGCGCACCCGCGCCCAGCCCGACGCAGGCTCCGCGAGGAAGAGCTGCGGCCCCGCGGCTCTGGAAGCCCCGCGGCCTTTAGGATGTGTTGTTACACTCCCCGCAACTGGTGTTTGGGTGCTTTCGGAAAGGAAACAAATCTGAAAGGCACCGACACTGTTTCCAGTTCAAGGCCAACTTCACGTTTTCCAATCACTGGTCTGAACACCACCGTTTCGGTTCCAACGAGCATCTGTACTCGTTTGCACTGGGTCCCGACCAGAACCGATCGGTCCTTTCCTGGGTGGGACACGCGTGTTCAGTGACCCTGCAACCAAGAAGCCCTCCGAGAGCCGCCCGCGCAGCTCTGTGGGGCGCCCCCTCTCCCTTGGCTCCGGGCCGCGGCGCGGCGCGTCCTTTTCGGGGCGAGCCCACGGGAAACACGCACCTCTGAAGGGCAACTAACCCGACTGCCCACCAAACGCCGGCGCGCGCCAGCACCCGGCACTCCGGGGCCCCGCGCCGGGGCAGGCGTGCGGCCGCGCGGACCGCGGGGGCTGCGCACGTGCGCGAGGCGCGGACACCTGCCGACGCGCGCGCGGGGCGCGGTGCCGCACGGAAAGCCCTCCGTGCGGAAACCGCTGGGCGAAGCTGGGATGCGACTGTGAAGGCGCAGTCCTGTCCCGTTTCCCGCCGCGGGCGACCCGCCGCGTGGCGGCCACAAGGCAGCCCCGCCCACTGACATACTGACTTCCCTCTGGAATTACTTTTTCAAGAAAAAGAAAAATAACACGTCTACTCAAGACCCCCGACACAAAGCGTGACGTGAGTTTCTGTCGGATGGGCCGGTGCTGGCGGCTTTGGGCGGAAACCCTCCCAGGCCAGCCGAGAAGTGGTGGGAACGCAGACGCGGGGAGCGGAGGACGGACGGAGGAAGGACGGAGGAAGGACGGAGAGGGGACGGGCGGGCACAGGGCAGGGGGCGGAGGCCCGCAGCTCGGCCACCTACCACTTGGGTCTCCATGGTCGCGCTCTTCCGGACGCCCCGCCCACGGCGCGTGCGCGGGGGCGGGCCCGAGGCCGGCCGGCCTCTGATTGGCGCAGACGGACGTCGATCCGGCGGGGCTGGCTCTGGCCGAGCGGGACCAGCAGAGGCGCGGCCTTGAGCGGGGGAGGACTCGGGACCGCGCGCCCGGGGGGCGGTCGCGGCGTGGGCTTCTGGCCCCGTGAACCGCGGTGTCCCGTTGTCCACTCCGGAGCTCTCGTCCCCCGGAAGTCCTCCCTCCCTCACCTGAGGGAGTTCATCGGCTCCGAAATCCTCAGTAAAATGCCACGAAAGCACGAGGGTGGTGGGGGAGGCGCCACGCTGTGCGGATGGTCCGACTTGGGGTCCACACCTTCGTGGGCGGGGGGCGTGTAACCCTTTGGAAAACGGTGCGTGTGTACAGGACGCAAGCGACATGTCACCTGCGCTGTTGGACCTGACTGGGGATACCTGATGTCCCAGGAAGGGCTCTGGGGAGGTGGGACCCGGGAGGGCGCCCTGCGCCGCGCCGGCGCAGTGCTGGCGGCTGAAACCCCTTCCCTCCCCGCTCAGCAAGCCCCGACGCCCGTGACCCGCCCGCGGCCCTGCGCCCCGGGGTTGCCATTGGTCCCGGAGGCCTCGTGCCAGGAAGTTGGTTGCTCTCCCCCTCCTCCCGCGGCGGACGGGGCTCCGGGGCGGGAGCCAGGTGGTCCAGTGCCAGGGCCCACGGGAGTGACACAATGGGACCTGCTGTGACGAGCGCTGTGGTGCCAGCACGCACTCGGGGTTCGTCCCAGCTCATCCGAACTGAGGAGCAAGTTCACGGCCATCGCTGCCAGGACAAATCCTGCACGGCTCCCGACGAAGATTAAGTGCAAATCATTCTACAAACTAACGATTGCGACAAAGCCACGCTTCGGTTTCAGGCAACTCTTCAAGTGTAATTTTCCCTTAAACTGCATCACTGTTTGCAAAGCCTGTTGTTTCCAGCTGAAACTCTTAGGCCAGAGGAGTAAAAACGCAACCTTAATCTACAGAGGGACACGAGCTATCTGAGAGTTCTTTTCCAAGGACTCATGTTCTCCAGGGCGTGGTGCGTCAGGAATAGCTTCATTTTAAATGACTTGGCGAAAAGTCACATTGTAGCTACCAGGACACAGCGGGTGGCTTCAGAGCCCGGGCCCCAGGAATCAGTGGGAAGAGGCTGGGGTGGTGTGTCTGCCCCCCACCCCATTGGGTGTCATAGGTGGGCTTGGCTGCTTGCGTCTGGCTTCCTGTGCTTCTGCTGCGAGAAATTTGCTTTCCACTGCGTTCTCCCTAATAAAAATTTGGTTAGAACGTGCATTTTGCAAACATTGGGAGTGCAGAAGGGCCCTTGGGGAGTGCAGTGCCGGGTCTGGGTGTGGGCGGAGACCCTTCCCTTCACGGTGGGAAGGTTCCCAGCAGGGACAAGGCCGCAGGGAGCGACCCCCCCCAGGGAGGGACGAGGGGGACGTGACCGGGTGAAAAGGTGAACAAAGTCAAGAACACCTGAGGGGGAAGCTATGCAAAACTCCCGCCGCTTGCTTTTGGTTCAGCGAGTGACATTTCTCTTTATATCAGATTTTTTTTTTTTAATGCAGAACGTTTAGTGAATACTGGCTGTATTCAGAAGACTTGGTACCACCAGCCAGGGCCTCTGGGTTTTAAAACTGCTCCGTAGGCCCCCTACGATGCCGGTGCGGGAGGGGAAGGTGTGGCTGGAGGACACTGGGCCCAGAGTCAGAACGGGTTCACCTCGAGTGCGTCAGCGAAGGGGGGTTCAAGCTTCAACAGCTGCCCGACGTGCCCTGACCACTGCCACGCGGGCCCTCCAAGCAAGCGTGCGCTCTCAGGTTCCTGTCGGGTCGGACCCCTGAGAGCTCTGGGTGGGCCTCCCGGGGCAGCAGGGACTGCTGGGAGGTCCAGAGCCACCTAGCGTGGCAGAGGAGAGCACCCTCAGACTGTAGGAGACCAGCTGCCCATGGCGGCCAGAGCACCCCGATAATAATCTGTTCCCAGGGGAGCAGCCAGCTGTCTGTGTGACATGCACAGGGGTCTCTCTGGTTTTTTAAAGGCTAGTTGAGACTCTCAAGGTTGGTTTAAGAAGCCAGAGCTGGATCCTACCCGCTGAAGGAAGTAACGAGGTTCCCATCACAGGAAGCATTTAATTAACAGTTGAGAACACGTTTGGTGTGGATTGGTGGAAGTCCCCCCTTAGTCCAGAAAGCAGAGCCTGAGTCTAGGCCTGTGCAGTGAGGGTTTCTGTTTCCAGGAAGCCGGGGGCAGGGCAGTGAGGCGGGGGAGGACGGGGGCCTGCACCAGAGTACTCTGTCGAGGGGTCCCCGCCGGGGTCAGCTGGAGCTGGGGCCCTGACCTCCCCAGAGTCCGGAGGCTTTTCTGCCTGAGTGCGAAGGGGAGGAGCCTCTGCCGTTGGGCCTGCCGTGGGGGCGGCCCTTTGGGGCATTTGCTCCCCTGCACTTCCAGGTGGCAACTGCGGGGCTCACAGGTGTCCCCAAGCCCAGGGTGTGCAGCCAGCTGTCGGCCAGGGGAGGCCTGCCCAGGGCTGTGTGGCCCTGGCACCAGGACCCAGAGGGTGGGTCGGGCTGAGCGTGAGGCCGGAGCGGCAGGAGACGAGAGAGCTGGCACGTGGCACGTTGCACAATGAGTGTGTCAGCTGCGGAGTGATGAAGCCAACTGCTCCCCAAGTTCTGGGTGGCTTACAGGTAGGTGACAGGTGCCTGCGGGAGCTGCATGTGCAGGCTAGCCTGGCGTCTTCCTCCCAAATATTCACGGGACCTGCCACCTGTGGGGGAAAGGGCTCCTGGGTTCCTGGCTGACAGCACTGGGAGGAGGAGTGGGGAAGCCAGCGGTGTTAGGGGTGACCTCAGCACTTCCTGTGGGGCCTCATGGAAGGCCCTAGTGCTGCCGATGTCACTGTCAAAGCCGGGAGCCCCCCAGGGGGCTGGCCAGGTGTTAGTGAGGAGCCCACCCCAGAAGCAGGGTGTACCCTGGGGCAACGGGTCCCTGCCTGACAGGCCCCCTCTTATGGGGCAGAGCGAGCATTTGGGGGACCCAGGAAGGGAGAAGCCAGCTGTCCCTCCCTGTGAGGAGCTGCCAGAGCTGTCAGCCCAGAGCCTAGCCTCCCGCCTCCAGGGCCAGCCACGCGCAGTGACGCCACCACTCACAGGGCCCCCGGGCCCAGGAGGCCCACAGGACTCTGGCCTGCTGACGGGGGAATGGCTTCTGGCTGCCTCCCTGAACACGGGTTTTGTTGGGAAGACAGCCCTGCATGAATCTCTGGCCCCCCTCCCCAGCGACCAAGAACTCAAAGGCTTGGCCTCTGGTGACCTGGGGAGTCAGGTGACAGCCTTGAGCAGAAGGTGACATTGCCCTCCTGGAGGAGTTGCTGTCTTGCTTTCTGGCTTCACAGAAGCTCATAGCCTCCCATGCCATGCAGCCTTGGAGGTACGGCATCCCCCTGGAAAGGGGCCTTGGGGACCCCCACTCCACTCACACACACTCACCCTCTGGTCCGCTGCTATGAGCTATAAACTCCTTTCTCTCTGGCCCAGGAGCCTCGTGCCTCCTGCCAGCACAGGGAGAACGGGGCGGGCCACCTTGTTGGCCTAAAGTGGAGCAGAGACTCCGACCTGCACAGTCCAGAGGGCACCCCAGCCACTCTCGGGGCAGGGCCCTGCCCTCACACCTGCCGCTGCCCGCCCGCCACCTGGACACAGACGCTGAGCTGGGCAGGCTCACAGGCCCTGCTCCCCTCACCCTGGCACCTCACACCCCCAGTGCCCATTCGCTCACCTGGGGGGGGCAGCTGCAGATGCCGCCAGCTGCTCACCCCGCAGCCCCCGGGCCCAGGGCTGTGGCGGCTCTGGGTGGGGGCTTGGGAACAGGGGGCTGTCCTGTTCTTCTCGGGAAAGGACAGGAGAGAGACAGAAAGAGAACCAGGGTAGTTTGCCCTGTGACCAAATCTGGGAAATAAGAGTGTCCACACATAGATCTTGTCAGAGACCTTAGAATATCAAAATATCTCAAAACGTTCAAAGTGCGTTTTAACCCAGTTTCCTGCAGTGAGCATGGCAGCTGCCAATCACCAGGTGTCTGAGATCGGCTGCTGGTTGGGGTCAGGTGGTTCTTTCGGCGATCAGGTCAGTGAAGTCAGGCAACCCCCAGCGTTGACACTGTCCAGCCCCACGGTCTTGAGACTCTCGGAGTGGAGGAGGCAGCGCGAGACCGTCACGGAGCCGGCCGGGCTGGGACCAAGGAGCCGTGAACGGGGGAAGCGTGTGGCCCTCACTGTCAGGCCCCTTGCCTTCTGGCCAGGAGTGACCGAAGCTCGCAGAGCCTGCTCCCTGGCTGTGAAGGGAGGTGGCGGCAGGGGTGGGGGGACGTGAACCCCCTGTGGGCTCCCAGGAAGGGGTGGCCGAGGTCCAGGGTGTTCATCTGCTGCCCCTCACAGGGTGTGGCCTTTGCTTCTTGTCAGCCTCTGAGAAGGACAAGCGTGACGAAAAGGTCAGGGTGGGGGTGGCGGGTGGCGGCCGTGACTCCGGACAGGAGGACGCCCACGAGGACCCAGGCCAGGGCTCACCCAGCATCCTCCCCTGGTCCCGTCCTGCCCCCTGGACTCCGTGAGCCCCGGGGCATCCAGGGCCCAGGCCACTGGCCACTCCCGGTCCCAGGTTCGTGGGGGACGAGGGGGCCTGCGCACAGCCCCCACCTCACCAAGCACTGACCAGCGGCCTCAGTCGTGCTTGGTCTGGCTGCCCAGGCCGGCTTCAGGCCAGCCGACCCCTCACCCCCTTCTCAGCGAGACAGGCCGCAGGTAAAGGCCTCTCAGCCCAGGAAATCGTGGCTTTCGTCTTTCCGGGAACGGGGTGGGGTTGGGTCAGGGCAGCTGCGGGGTCACTCGGGGTCCAGGGGCGTGGGCGTCCCTGCCCGCTCCGTGGCCGAGAGACAGAGCCATCTGGGGCGAGTCGCGGTTATTTTTGCTCTTTGAGGTTTAGTGCTTCCTGATCGGACGTTTTTGGAAGCACAGGAAACGCGCGGGTTTAACCCAGGGAAAGTGCCCCTGCAAGCCACCCCCCCCCCCCCGGTGGGCGGCGGAGCGCTGGGGCCGGGCCTGGAGGGGCGTTGCTGCCGCTTTGCCGGCCAGCCCGGCGGCCCTCCCCAGCGCCACCTTTCTCCGAGGGAAAGGGTGCTCGCAGTTCCCTGAAGCGGGGATCTTTCCGGAAGCGGTCTGGGGTGTGCGGGATCCACGGAAATCACACGTGCGAGCAGCACTGTGGAGAACAGAGTGAGAGCAGCTCTGCGCACCCACCGCCGGTCTCGGGGGCCCCTGAGGTCGCCCTGAGGGGCGGCCCTGTGAGCCTGGGACGTGGGCGGGGCCGGGAACCCAGACCTGAGCCGGCCGGCCCACCACCCGCTGCCGCTCACAGGCCCTTGCTCGGAAGGATCTGGGCACAGTGTGGGCTATGCAGCCTTTCCTCCCACAAAGCTGGCCTGGCTCTGGCCCAGGGCGCCGGCCAGGAGCGGGCTGGGGTGAGGCCCCACCTTCCCCTGGCCCCTGGCCCCCCTCGCAGCCTTGATTTTCCCCCTGCTCCAAGTCAGGAAGTCAGGCCCCGGGCGGGTCTGGGGGCCGGCCCTCGCTCCAGGGAGACAGACGTCGCCCAGAAGGAGAGGGATGGGCTGTCTGCAGACCGTGGCTGCACGTGGCCCTGTGAGGGGCAGGCACCATGGCCAAGGGGACGCCATGCACCCGCCCTCCCCGAGGACACTCCGATCGCCAGAGGGCCGTCAGGTGCACGTCTGTCTGCGGGAGCCGGAGCCCTTCGAGGGGCCAGAGCCCTGTGGAGCACGGCTGTGTGCAGTTGTCGGGTGGGCCCGCGGGGGCCTGAGGCCCAGCCAGACGCACCTGCCCCGGGAGCCGCAGCCGGCGTCGCCACCCAGCCCGGCCGTCAGCACCAGCCGGAGCACAGTGGCTGGACTCCCCCGTGGGGAGGGCTCGGTGGGCCCTGCCCGCACCCGGCCTGTGGCTCCGGGGCCCAGGGGCCCAGACAGCCTAGAAAGGGTCAGGAGGGGCTGCGGCGTGGGCAGGCTGGGCGGTCGCCAGGAAAGGAGACTGGACATTCAGAGGCTGGTCACCCAGGGAGATGGCAGCCGCTCCGCCCGCCCTCGGCTGGACTTGAAAGAAGTGAGAACAGACAGAATTCAAAGACGCCAACAAAAGGGCTTCCTGTTGACACCACCAGACTTTAACTCCTTTCTCCTCCGCACCCCGCGCTGGCGCCGGG